GCCCGGGGACTCCGGTAGACCTCGCTAATTCCGCGCGATTAGGATTCGGCCCGGCTCGGGCCGACTCGGGTCGACTCGGCCGGGCTCGGGCCGCGGCCTCGGGGGGCCCGCGCGCCGGCGGCCCCCGCGAAGAGTCGCGCTCGGGCCGCGGCCGCCCACGTTGCGCGCGACAAAGGCGGCGCGAGGGCGCTCATCCCCCGTGGCCGGCCGAATCGCGAGCGGCCGAGCGCCGGTCTCGGGGCGGAGGCGGCAGCGGCGGCGGCGGCGGCGAAGGAAAAAACCGGGAGAGGCACGAGGTAACTCAACACCGGAAGCGCGCGCGTCTCGAGCGTGACGCCACCCCGAAGGTGCGGGATCCGCGGAGGACGGACGGAGGTTGGAAGGTGCGCGGCTCGGAGAGGCGCGGAGGTGGCGCGGGACAGTGGGAGTCCTCGAGGCCGCCATGCGAGCCGAGCTCTCGTTGTGCGAACGCGGTGATCTTACGTACGTACCTACCTACGTTCGAGGATTGAATTACCGCCGCGCGACTCTCTATGTAGCAACTCGCTTGCTTAACCTCCGAGCGGCCGGCAGCGTGGCCGCGCGTCCCGCGGCCCGCCTTTTTTCGGGGCTCTTTCCGCTTTCCGCCCGGCGCTTTCCGCTTTCCGCTTCCCGGCCGCCGCGCTTTCTAGCCGCCGGAGAGGAGAGCGAATCCGGGTGCGGGAGAACGGGCGGTGGCAAACTCGCGGAGGCACGGAGGAAGATGAGGTCGGGGGTAACCCGACACCTGGCCGCACCGGAGGTAACGTGAGAGCCCCTTACCCACCCCCCTCTCCGCGGCGGCGGCCGCCACCGCCGCCGCCGCCGCCGCCGCCGCCGCCGCCGCCGCCGTCGTCGTCCTCCGCCGTTATCCCGTGACGTCCCTCGCCGCGGCCGGGACCTCCGGGAATCGCCGGCCGCTCCGCAGCCGGTGACGAAAGGGCGCCGGCCCGCGGACTCGATTACCCGGCCCAGGAAAGGGGCGAGGTGCTTCCTCCGACTCATCGACCGAGGTGCCCCTCGCGCCCGTAATTACTCGGTCGGATAATTAAAACGGCCCCTCGACACACCCTGCCCGGGAAGGGGTACGCCGGCTCGAGGTGTATAATCGATACGGCGGTCGAGGGGCGCCCGCCGCTGCAGCGCCCATTACGGCCACCCCGGCGGCGGGCGCGCCCCGCGAAGGCCGCCGCCTCGTTACGCGAGGACGCCGACGAGCCACGTGTTGATCGCACGTGCGCGCCGTGCGCGACCGGAGCGCGGCCCGCCCGGCCCGCGCGGCCGCGCGGCCGCGGAGGCCCCGCGCGGGTTCGCCGAGGTAATCGATAGGGGGTCGCCCGGGGAGTCGCGCCGACCCGCGACTGGGACGAGGGCCCCCGCGTACCCACGGTGTCTTTCCTCGGTAACGGGAGACCTCGGCGAGGTATCGATTACGAGCAAAACTACCGCGCGTACGCGCGGCCGCCTCCTCGCTCCGCGTCCGACCCCGTGCCATCTCCGCGGCTCTCTCGGCGCGACCGACCCACCTCGGTCCCGTTACCGGCCGCGAGGGCCCTACGCCCTATAAATACGTTCGGTAATTGATTCGGTAATAACTAACTCGAGCGAACTGGCTCGCCCGGCATAAATATGTATGGGGGGCGATCGGCCCAGCGGCCGCGCCACGACGCCGCGGCGGCTCCGCTCCGCGGGGACCGGGCGCGTGCCCCGGGGATTTACGAGGAACCGGCGGCTCGGTAACGCCCGCCGAATGTATAATTAGCACCGGCGATAACGCCCTCCCGAGAACTCGAAATCCGAGCCCGGGATGGGCGCGGTCGCCCCCGGGGCGCGACGCCCCCGTCGCGGTCGCGGTCGCGGCGTCGCGGGCTCTGGCCCCTCGCCGGGGCGCCGCGCGCGAGGTAGGTGTTAAAACACGGTAATTAACAACGAGGCACGCCGAGGAGGACGTCGGGGAGGAGACCACCTTCGGGTTCTCGGTGCCCGCCGAGATTTACTGCCGAACTGCCGCGTATTTATGAACTGCGTCCCGGGACCCGACTCGGGCTCTCACGCACGCACCACGCGCGCACGCAGCCCGGGCCGAGCCGAGCCAAGGGAGATTATCGCGCGATTTCGGACGGCGGTCGATCGCCGCGGCCCTCGTCGATCGGCCGGTCGCCCGCGTCTCGTCCGCTCGGCGGACCGTCGTCGAGTCGTCCGCGCGACCGGCGAGCCGGCCAGGGGGGCAAGGGGGACGAGGGGGCAGCGGGTCGGCCCTCGGGCCGTCGTAAACAATAGCGAGGAGTAATTGATTCTCTAATAAGTTAACGCGGTCCCTAACGGCTCCGCTCGGACGTAAGGTATCGGCCGGCGGCTCGCTCGGACGCGCGAGACGCCGAGACGCCTCGCGTCGAGATTTAAAGCCTCGCTCGCATAATGAACGCTCTCGGTCGGCCGCGCGGACCGAGGCCGATCGTCGGACGGCGAGGTCGGCTCCCTTTAAAATCCGAAGCGGGCTCGGCCGCGGACTTCCCGGAGCCGAGATAACGAGCGGGGGGCGACGCGATAACCGCGGTGCGACCAAGCCCGTCATTACGATCGATATATCTCGCGGCCGCGGCGCCGTCGCGACCGACGCGCGGCCATCGGCCCTCCCCCGGGAAAACGCCCACCGGATTCGGGGACCGCGACCTTGGGCCGCGGACGCGGGGCGGCCCGCCGACCCGGGTGACTCGCGCCGACGGAAAGTGGGACGGCCGCGGGTACGTTGCCCTCGGGACGGCTCTCGTTACGGTAATCGTCGGGGCTAGGTGCGAGGCACCGGGTGTATTCTTAAATCCGGCAAGCCGATGGCTAAATACGGTCATCATCGCGCTCGCGCGGCCGGGGAGGCTCGTGACCCGCCGGGGCCGCAGATATTTACTACTCGCACGTAGGCGCAATTTTCGCGGCGCGGCCAGGGAGCGGGGGCACCGGGGTCGACCGCGCGCCCAGATCGCTATCGCGATCGAGCGATAGGCCAGCCGAGTCGGGATCTGGACCGACGGGCCCGCGTCGAGCCTTGCTTGCAGGGGCGGAAGGACCTACCGGCACTCACCGGGGACTCGGAGGGGAGCCGGTTTAATCAAATTTTCGAAGCCCCGCACACCTTGACGGGGGGCGAGCCCTTCTGCCCGAGGGACCCGCACCTGGCCTGCCGCGCGGCCGCGACCCGCGAGCGGGCGCGAAGGTCGGCCGGTGTAATTTCATCGAGGACTCGCGCCCTCGACTCGCCGAGCCCGCGAGGGAAGACCCCGCTTAACGACTTGCGATACCGTCGATCGCGATCGATAGTTCTGCCCGCGAGGCGTCATAATGATACGGTGCGAGGCGTGCTTCGGCCGGGACGCGCCGAGCCGTGCGACCCGGCTTCGGCACCGTTGGAAGCCCCGATTCCGAAATCCCAAACATCGCAACCGTCGACCGCTAACGTCTGTGATCGATTCCAGAAGAAATGGCCCAGGAATCACGTGGAAAATAAGAAATTTACCCTGCTAACAAAGCACGGCATTGGTAACTTTTCCTGCTGTATACTCGCATCAACTGCAAAAATGTTTGCGATTATTCCGAATGTGGACGTAACGATTGGAGAGCTATATTTGGAATAAATGTTTCCTAAATCAGCAAATGAATCTGGAGCAACGGCCAAAAATTATTGCTGCCAGTACTTGCACGTCTGAGATATAGAATTTCTTGTGGCTAGAAAAGAATATTGCAACCGTGAACAGATTCGCGTTGTCCCGGTAAAGTAATCTTTCTTTTTTTTCGTTGGCAGTATCGTCAATATAACAAAAATGTTTCTGGTAACAAATTTTGTTGGCTCACTTTCACGTGTTCACATTTGTTAAAGCGAGTATAATTTCTTGTTATGATTGTGATTTTTTTTCTGCGTACAGAAATATCGAATTTTTGCTGATCTAGAGATCGCCAGCACTACTTACTGGGAATGTAGGGATTTCGATGCTACGAGAATGAAACGTTTCCTGTCAAGGTAAGTAACTCAAGCCGCTTTTAATTTTGCAATTAAGGTACGCAACGTGCAACGATAATCCGCGCATATTGCATAGAATGTGATGTTTTTAGTACGATGAAGTCTAGCAGACGGGATATCACATATGATTATTTTTAATTGTAAAGTTTCACTCAGGAGGTACACTGGTCACTAAATCAGGGAAAATCCAAAGCTCTTGGACCCCTAAAATGGCGTCGATATTGAGATACGGCATTGTATCTCCTTATATGAATTCGTAATTGCAATGAGAAATGATACTCTTCCGGTTTTTTTTGGATATTCTTTTATTTTGGCGTTCATAGAATTGTTATGAATGATTTGGATTGGCGTTCATGAATGGTTTTCTACTATTAAATTGTTCCCGGAAATGGTGACGCACTTCTAACCGCTGAAATGAAGTATGCTTCCTTACCGAGAATAGTCATATTCAATCGATCCTCAAATTCGCCTTATCACATTGGTATTTTGGCTGTAAATGACCTGATTTATTTGCGATTACTCATCACGATTTAACCGTCATACTTTGATTCATTACTGTAAACCTCTACCATTGAGTTCGACAGCGGTTGCAGCGCCGTTGGTGTTGAAATTCGAAGCTATTCTTTCCAATATTCGCCTCACGTAAGAAAATTGAAAGAAATGATAATCCTCTGGGCAATTCGTTTCTAGGCACATTTGCGAGATTAGGATTCCGTGCTGCCCCCGCGCGGTCGTTTGTCAGGCTTGTACACTTATCTGCGTCATCTAGCGCGTATGTCTGGTATTCCGCGTAACACCCGTAACGCTATCTAATGAGTACCCGATGAAGTAACTGGAGGGCGAGCGTGTTATCGTTCACGGTTATTCAAGATTCCCGCTGTTCAGGTTGCTACGATCTACCGACGCTAGATGGCAGTGACAATTCTGGTGTAAACATTCGTAAACTTCATTAGACATCTCTAGCACGCACGTTAATTTACGTCGAAATTGGCCGATTCACCTGGATTCACCCGAATCGTGAAAATGAATCAAGCAAATGTGAATCATTTGGTTTCAAAATTACATTTTAAGTTAAATTCTCGTCGCCGATTAAAAGATGTAGATGGGCCGGAAGGACGTATGCTTAAATTACGAAAAACTTTAACAGCTTTGTTTAAGTACGAAAGGATCGAATTATTCTATAATCGTGCAGATGAGACGAGAGGTTATGCCGACCGGGTATGTTTTTAGTAGAATATGCGAAGGAAGAACTGGTATTGTTTATATTTATGTGCGGAATCGTATAGTTTATTTGGGCACTGATTCCGTGTAGATTAGGTCTAAGCATGTGTGAAACGTCGATTGTGATTAATTTATATTACATTTTTAAACCCATGACATTATTCGAATGAATTTAACGGGTTTAAAATATTTACATAGTTAATTTCGGAAGCAATACGCCATGGGCCTGAGAATAAAGAAATTATGGATATGGCCAACTATTGGCTTCTCGAGAAACAACTTGTGCATAAACTTTTCAAAGTACTTGTACCAAGATACCAAGATTATTCATATTCTTATACTAAGTTACATAAAATTCAAAGGGACTATCCTGGAATATATTATAAAAAGGCGGTTATAGAACTTAGAGGTAAGTTGACTAAATAGTAGAGTATGAACCCATATTTTGTTTGTTTATTAAATCAGAATTTTAACTTGATTATATTCGTTTCTTTCAGGGAATGTATTTCCAAGTATTGAGCAACCACATCAGCATAGTTACCAGATGCTTCATAATATGCTGTTAGATGAAGCGAGGAAAGAATTTCGTATGGAAAAATACAAAGAAATTGCTGAAAATATGAAGCGATCGGAACTTGGAGATGCAAGGGTATGAATTGTAAAATCATGTTATGTACCAACAACCACAATCCCTTTTATATGATATAATGTATCTATAAGTAGTCTATTGAATTATGCTTACTTGTACAATAAAGTACATATTAATTATTAATAATACGAGGTAGATGTTATTTATAGATTCTGGTACTAACTATGCTTGTTTAAATGCATTTAATGGATAATGGTCAGAATATTCTTTTAAGTGATTTTTCATTGATTCCATTTGTTTCCTAAAATATAAATACGTTTTAATGTTCTGATAAGAAAAGTTGGTACTATAATTGTTACGTACAAGGGTGATTACCTTATATGATTTGGCATGTCGTGGTAAACATCTGTAAAAAGTTCTGTCCACAGAGGTTTTGGTTTCTTTTCAGCTTCGGCAAAGGCAGATAATATTTCTTTTTTTGTTGAATTTACTAAGGCTGTTTCCTTCTCTTGATTCCATATACCAAGTTGTTCTAAAAATGCTCGAAACCTTAAAATTGGCACGTGCTTACTCCAATTATTTGTTTCTTCCACTGATCTATAAGTAGTACTGTCGTCGGATGTACTGTGATGTCCAATTCTATAAAAATGTAACATGACATTTGAGTTTCCTTTGTTAAAATTATTACAACTAACATACCTATATGTAAGAGCTTCTATTAAAACAGGTTTTCCTTTGGTTAAACAAAAATTTCGCGCCAGTTGCGTGGCAGAGTATACGGCAAGTATGTCATTTCCATCTACACGAATTGTCTCGATACCGTATGCTGGGCCTCTGGCTGCAATTCCATCTCCAGCATATTGATCGCGTGTGGAAGTTGAAATTGCATATGCATTATTTCGGCTGGAATCCAGATTAATTGATTTAATAATGACATATTTTGTGATTTTAATTGTTCCAATTTTATGTTGATATCGATAGAGGTGTCTTGAAAAATTAACCCGATTAACATTACCATAGAAAAATAACTGGGCATTTGAGAGTAGCGGCAAAATTAAAAGCTGCGTGTGCATCACCTTCGCTTGCAGCACCTTCTCCAAAATAAACTATTACACATGCTTGATGTTTAGCACGTTTCAATGCATAAGCAGCCCCTGCCGCTGATTTTATGAAACAATTATAATAGATTAAAGTAACAGGCACAATGAATATGAAAGAACTATTTTATTTTATGTGCAACCGTCATTTAATAAGAATTAACCTTGTGGCAATTGAGTTGTTAAAGGAGATGATATAGTTACAAAATTCAAATCCTTCGATCCGTAATGTACTGGCATTTGTCTACCCTTGCCTTCATCGTCACAATTACCATAACATTGATTCATAAATTCTTGCATGCGAAAACCACGCCATAGAAGTACTCCTAAAACGTGTAGAAAGCATTCAAATACTCATATGAATGATATTATTTAAGTTTGAAATCACTTCATTTTGTATGCTAATTTATAAAAACAATTCAACAGTTTCACCTGCTTCTCTATATTGTGCATATATAATATCTTTTAAAGTTAAAGCAGCCGCTGATCCAACTTGTACCGCTTCTTCCCCATAATTTGACATGTAGAAAGAAATGCGACCTTGACGTTGAGATTCATAGAGAATTTTGTCCATTATATTTAGAGTCATCATATTACGATACATTTTTTCTAAAATTTCATGGTTCAACTTAAAAAAAGAATAATAATTACTTTTTGTTCCTTTGGCATCATTATGTGTACTTAAACATGTACCTTCAGGTTTCCAAGCGATTCTTTACATCCAGATGGATACAAAATTCTGTATATTGGAATAGCATCGTACGAATCTAGATTTGTGAATTTGGGTACATCCGTGTATCTAGTACTTTTAATCCCTGGGTGTGGTGGTTCATTAGCAATCGAACTTAAATGTTTCACCTAAGAGTAACCATCGATATATTTAAAGGTTTATTAAGAATTAATTACTTCAATAAATAACGTATTCCTTATATCATTCATCAAGACTAGAGGTCTTAGTTATCGTCACAATGGGTAGAGAAGTTTCCCATAACAAGTTATCTCGACACCATTTTCTATCAAATCTCTAATTAAACTGCCAATAATTATAATATTATCTCTTATATAAAAGTCTTACATTAGCCCATTGGCAGTTTATAACTTTTTTTACTGAAATTCGTACAGACATCTCGAAATTTTAATAAATTATACTCTTCTCCAATCTGATACGATTTTTAAGTGTTCGCGCACTGTTCGATTTTATGTAACTAGAATGCTTATCATTGTACGACTCCGCTGAACTCGTGAGTCGTGATAACGTGTAATTACATGTGCATATGTAACTTTGGAAGTTGGAAAGTTGAAGGAAGTGACTTTCAGAATATATTAATGATCCATGATTTTTTACGATACAATTCATTAATTAATTCAAACTCTATCGTTACTTGTGCGGGACCAAGTAACGTGGCAATTTTTCGCAGTATCAGTACATGGAGTTTCGTTTAATCGACTTCGTTATCAAGTGTCGAAACGATTCGAAGCTCGTGAAATCTGGTGAAATTGGTTTCACCTGGTTGCGCCATCGACAAGCATGGGCAAGCAAATTTACGCGTGGTAGACTATACAGAGATGAGTTGGGAGATTGCTCACGGGCAGGATCGTGTGATCACATCCTGTGCTGCCCTCTGGTTTCGTATGTTAGATTTCACCGTTTTTTACCCCCAAGGGCGGTGCAACGAATTTCTGATAGGAGCTCGCGCACTTGTGGGGATTGTCAAATATATTTCACCACTTTATTTATAGTTATTGCTTTATTATCACAGAAAAAGGAGCGGATTTCCACGTGCGCTCTAGAATTGGTCACAAAGCCTTCTTGATTTTCAATAGTTTCTAAAACATTTTACGACATAGTCGTCTTTTGGTTCGAGGTAAGTAAAGTAACGTGCACGCGGGGTAACACAGTTTGCCCCGTCCTGAACGCATCGCGCTCGACGCGCGCGACGCCTCCGGTGGTCGATGGCCGGACTTCGTCCCGGGCCCGCCACACGCTCGTGATGGCGGTACCATCTACCAGTCGCCGTTAGCGGCTCACGTACTCGAGATGGTAATACCATGCGACAGTTGACGGTGGTGGCTTACCTACGCTTACCGACACTGCTCGCTTTTGATGGTAAGGGAAGAACACTCGTGACGCTCCATTTGACTTTATCTACTTATCTACTACTATTAAGTACATTGTTGCCTCGAAGTTGACGTGATGCGGAGCTTTGGGGCACGCGTCGGTGTCACGTACGGAACTCTTGTGCAGCGAATCAAGCGCCAAGCTACGGGTCGAGACGTTGAGTATGTGTGCGTTCGGCGCTACACTCGACGAGTATGCGGGAGAGTCGAACACTGCGAAAATCCTCCCGAGGCTCACCTAACCCCGGATATAAGCCGAGTCATTTCGCGTATGATTTTTTTTACATTTCCCTACTAGCGTTTTCGAGCATTATCGAGCATTATCGAGCGTTTTTCGAGCGGTTTCAAGCGTTTTCGAGTGTTATCGAGCGTTTTTCGACCGCTTTCGAACGTTTTCGAGCGTTTCTCGATAATTTTCAGAGCGGTTTCGAGCGTTTTCAAGCTTTATCGAGCGTTTTTCGACCGTTTTTGAACGTTTTCGAGCGTTTCTAGATCATCATCAGAGCGGTTTCGAGCGTTTTTAGACTGTTTTTTAGGGTTACCGAGCGTTTTTCAACCGTTTTCGAGTGTTTCTAGTGTGTTCAAGCGTTTTTAGAGTCTTTTGGAGCGTTTTCCGAGCGTTTTCGAGCGTTATCAAGCGTTTGTCAAGCGTTTTTGAGCGTTACCGATCGTTTTTCGAGCGTTTCTCGGTCATTTTCAGAGCATTTTCGAGCGTTGTCGAGCGTTATCGATAGTTTTCGCGCGTTTTTCAAGTGTTTTCGAGCCTTATAGAAGGCCGTATAGTGCGGTTGCGTGTTGTTAAGTGCAGTAGAGTGTCGGAGAGTGCCGCAGAGTCGCCGGAGAGTGCCGGACAGTTTCCGCAGAGTGCCGGAGAGTTGCTGGAGAGTGCCGGAGAGTATCGGAGAGTGCCGGAAAGTTGCCGGAGAGTGCCGGAGAGTTGCCGCAGAGTGCCGTAGAGTGCTGGAGAGTGCTGGAGAGTGCTGGAGAGTGCCGGAGAGCGCCGCAGAGGCACGCAGAGTGCCGGAGCGCGTCGCAGAGTGCCGCAGAGTGCCGGAGAGTTGCCGGAGAGTGCCGGAGAGTTGCCGCAGAGTGCTGGAAAGTTGCCGGAGAGTGCCGAAGTGTTGCCGCAGAGTGCCGTAGAGTGCTGGAGAGTGCTGGAGGGTGCCGCAGAGGGTCGCAGAGTGCCGCAAAGTTGCCGGAGATTGCCGGAGAGTTGCCGCATCGTGCCGGAGAGTGCCGGAGAGTGCCGGAGAGTTGCCGCAGAGTGCCGGAGAGTGCCGGAGAGTTGCCGCAGAATGCCGTAGAGTGCCGGAGGGTTGCTGGAGACTGCCGTAGAGTGCCGGAGAGTGCCGCAGAGTGCCGCAGAGAGCAGGAAAGTGCCGGAGAGTTTCTGCAGAGTGCCAGATAGTGCCAGAGAGTTGCCGCAGAGCCTCACAGAGTGCCGGAGAGTTGCTGGAGAGTGTCGGATAGTGCTGGAGAGTGCCGGGAAGTTGCCGCAGGGTGCCGGAGAGTGCCGGAGAGTTACCGCAGAGCGCCGGTAAGTACCGGAGAGTTGACTGAGAGTGCCGGAGAGTGCCGGGGAGTGCCGTAGAGTGCCGTAGAGTGACGCAACGTGCCCTAGAGTGCCCTAAAGTGCCCTAAAGTGCCCTAGAGTGCCTTAGAGTGCCCTGGAGTGCCCTAGAGTTGCGTAGAGTGCCGCAGTGTGCCGTAGAATGTAGAGTGCCTTAGAGTGCCCTGGAGTGCCCTAGAGTTGCGTAGAGTGCCGTAGTGTGCCGTAGAATGCCGTAGAGTGCATTAGAATAATTAGAGTGCTATAGCACTCTAATTAGAGTGCCTTTATTAGAACTCTGATCAGAGCGCCTTTGTTAGGTTAGGTTAGGTCAGATTAGGTTAGGTTAGGTTAGGTAAGGTTAGGTCAGGTTAGGTCAGGTTAGGTCAGGTTAGGTCAGGTCAGGTCAGGTCAGGTCAGGTTAGGTCAGGTCAGGTCAGGTCAGGTCAGGTCAGGTCAGGTCAGGTCAGGTCAGGTCAGGTCAGGTCAGGTCAGGTCAGGTCAGGTCAGGTCAGGTCAGNTCAGGTGAGGTTAGGTCAGGTAGGTCGGGTTAGGTTAGTTTAGGTTAGGTTAGGTTAGGTTAGGTTACGTTAGGCTAGGTTAGGTAGGTACTTCTAACGGCACTCTAACAAAGGTACTCTGATTGCAGTGGTAATCAATGAATTCGAATCAGAGTACTATAGCACTCTTATGCACTCTAATGCATAATAATGCACTCTACGGTACTCTGCGGCACCCTATGGCATTCTACGGCGCCCTACGGCGCCCTATGGCACTCTACGCAACTCTAGGGCACTCTAAGGCACTCTACGGAATTCTAGGGCACTCTACGTCACTCTACGGCAATCTACGGCACTCTATGGCACTATACGGCACTCTAGGGCACTATCCAGCACTCTACGGCACTTTGCGGCAACTCTCCGGCACTCTCCGGCACTCTGCGGCAACTCTTCGGCACTCTGCGGCACTCTCTGGCACTCTCTGGCACTCTCCAGAAACTCTCTGGCCCTCTCCGGCACTCTCCGTCAACTATCCGGCACTCACAGGCACTCTCCGGCGCTCTGCGGCAACTCTCCGGCACTCTCTGGCAACTCTCCAGCACTCTCTGGCAACTCTCCGGCACTCTCCGGCACTCTCCGGCACTCTGCGGCAACTCTCCGGCATTCTCCGGCACTCTCCGGCACTCTCCGGCACTCTGCGGCACTCTGCGGCACTCTGCGGCACTCTGCGGGAACACTCCGCCACTTTCTGTCAACTCTCCGGCACTTTCCGGCACTCTCCGGCACTCTCCGGCAACTCTCCGGCAACTCTCCGGCACTCTCCAGCATTTCTCCGGCACTCTCCGGCACTCTACTGCACTTAACAACACGCCACCGCACTGTACGGCCTTCGATAAGGCTCGAAAAAACATGAAAAACACGCGAAAACGATTGATAATACTCGGCAACGCTCGAAAAACGCTCGATAACAATCGAGAACACTCTAAAAACACTTGAAAACGGTTGAAAAACGTTCGATAACTCTCGAAAACGCTCGAAAAACTCGTGAAAACGCTCGAAAAATACTCGATAACGTTCGAATGCACTCTAAAAACACTCGATAACGCTCGAAAGCACTCTAAAAACACTCGAATACGGTTGAAAAACGCTCGGTAACGCTCAAAACTGGTCGAAAAATGCTCGATAACGCTTGAAAAAGCTCGAAACCGCGCTGAAAATGATCGAGGAACGCTCGAAAACGCTCGATAACGATCGATAACGCTCGAAAACGTTCGAAGACGTTCAAAAACGCTCTAGAAACACCTAAAAACGCTCGATAACGCTAGGAGGGAAATGTAAAAATCATGCCGAAATGACTCGGCTTATATCCGCAGTTAGGTAAGCTTCGGGAGGATTTTTCGCAGTTTTCGAGTCTCACGCATACTTGTCGAGTGTAGCGCCGAATGCACACATACTCAACGTCTCGACCCGTAACTTGGCGCTTGGCTGTTTGGGACGCGCGGAAATTTCTAGGAGCTATCGCACTCACACAGATTCGCTGCACGAGAGTTCCGTACGCGACACCGACGCGTGCCCTAAAGCTGCGCATCACGTCGACTTCGTGGCAACAATGTACTTAATAGTAGTAGGTAAGTAGATAAAGTCAAATGGAGCGGCACGAGTGTTCTTCCCTTACCATCAAAAGCGAGCAGTGTCGGTAAGCGTAGGTAAGCCACCACCGTCAACTGCCGCATGGTATTGCCAGAGATGGTATTACCATCACGAGTACGTGAGCCGCCAATGGCGACTGGTAGATGGTACCGTCATCGCGAGTGCGCAAGCTACTATCAGAAATTCGTTGCGCCGCCCTTGGGGGCAAAAAACGGTGAAAGCAAATGAACAAAACCAGAGGGCAGCACAGGATGCGATCTCACGATCCTGCCCGTAAGCAATCTCCCAACTCATCTCTGGCCTATACGTGATTCTTTAAGGCGTATTCATATAAAGTAGGTGCACGAAACGGGCAACATATCAATTGGTTTGTTCAATCGTCTTTTCCTGATTCCAAACCGACCACCATAGGCTAATCTCCAACACCTAACGTTCCCGTTCAACCAATCGGATTCGTTCGGCCGATTGCGACCGAGATATGAAATTTGCTCTGTTCGCTTCGTCATAACTACGGGTTTTATCGAAATAATTCACCCCGAGGTAAATTCCGATTAGCGTATATTACGCATGAGGATATTAATTTAATTAATTTTGAGCGGAACAATTCCTCAGGATCAGCCGCGTCGGCAGTTCGAGTCCCCCGACCGAGATGGCGCCACATCGTTGCGTCGGTTGCCGTTTCCGGCGCGAGAGGTCGCGTCAGCGAGGAGTTGCGCGGCGGAGCTGCGCATCACCGAGGTCTCTCGCAGGCAGCTGAGTGGGGCTGCGGATGACAATGATGGCTGCCACCAGCGAGGAACGGAGTGTTATGGAGCCCTCTCGGTCGAATTCCGGGCAAGGCCAGCCCGTGGACCGGCTGAAGATGCTCTACCCGATGGTGAACGAGGAGGAGACGCCGCTGCCGCGGTCCTGGAGCCCGAAGGACAAGTACAATTACATAGGCCTCTCGCAAAACAATCTCCGCGTTCATTACAAAGGTACGTGAGTCCTCCTGACCGAGGTCGGCCGATGCGTTCTCGGACGAGAGCTTTCCGCGCGGATCGCGCCGCGGCGGTGGAGGCTTGTCATTCGGCCGAAAGTCGTCGGAGACCCCCGCGACTCGCCACGAGGCGGTTCCTTCGGGGAGCTCGCCCGCGGGAGCGGAATATCGATTGAACATGGCAGAGCTCGGTTTTTCGCGTGTGTCAGCGACCCAAACAAAGGAATCAGCTGATCGCTCTCGGTCGCCCGCGACCGTTCCTCGGGGGGCCCGCGACGGGCCCCGAGACGGAGGACGGCCTTCGCCGCGGCCTTCCCTTCTCTTCTCCCTTGCCCTCGAGCCCGAGTTAATTCCGTCCAGGCCGACCGTGACGGGGGAAACGCGTGAAAAATAGTGCGCCCGGAGAGAGACCCGCGCAATGTCAATGACAGTTCTTCCTCCTGGACGGGTGCTCGAGGCTCGGGTCTCTCGCGGCCTCGCGCGCACGCACGCTCCTTCCCTTCGCTCGGCTCGACTCGCGCGCGCCTCCACCTCGGTGAGCGCTCGGCGAGTTCGCCGAGCGCGGCCTCGCGATGCCTCGATTTTCACTTTCCTCCGAGAGGCCGAGGGCGGAAGCGAGCTAGTCGTTTGCAGGCGAATCATCCCCGATCCGCGTCGCGGGACCGTCGCGATCGGACCGTTATCTCCACGGAATATCCCCCCTCCCTCTCCCCGGTGGCAACGTTCCGAAGGTCTGCCGAGAGTCGTGTCCCTTTTTCGGTCGATAGCGAGGACCGAGCTGATTTCCGTGGATCGGCCGATTGGGACGGTCGCTCGAGGCACCGCTCCCGGGGGTGAGGTCGAGACGTCAGCCTGCGACGCAGCGGACGACGTCGAGAGCGCGGCCCTTATCGCGAATCGCGTATCTGACCTCGGCCCCTCGGAGAACCGAGGCGACGCGGTCGAAACGTTGCCGGACGAGAGCGACCGCTTGGGTCGTCCGGAATTTTCACTTCCGATTTCCGGCCTCTTTCCCTCTCGCGGGCACCGAACGGCGCGCTCCCGGACGCTCGAGCTCAGTTGGCAGGAAAGTGAACGTCGGGAAATTCCGCTCGACGTCGAGGCGTTGAGACTGGGTCGTGGCCGCCGAAAGTCCTCCCCGTGTTAGATGCCTCTTGGCGGACGTTGTTCAGCCCTGCGGTTTGTCCATCGACGGTGGGCCTTCGGAAAGAATTGGGGGCCATTTTGGGGACTCGGTAATTTCCGGACGCGCTTTCGATCGAGGCCCTCCCTTCCCTGGGTCGAGGCAGCGTGCTTCGCGACGCATCGGTTAGGCTTACTCTCGGCCGAGATGGTCGATCGAGTATTTTCGACCGTGTAAGGCCTCGGATGCGGACGCTCGCTAACTCGCGCCGAAATAGCACGTGTGTCGGCCCCACCACCTTGCGCGGACCGTGCTGAGGCGATTGTACCGGTCGAAGTCGAGCCAGCGGATAGACGTTGGAAATTACCCTTTCTACCGGATTCGGTACGGTTAGGAAAACGTCCTACCGGGGGTAGGGTCGTTCGACCGGGGGTAACGGGAAGTCCCGGCAGTCGGGGAGGTTCTCAATCGATTTCTGGATCTCTCGAACGGCACGGTAGAGCCTATATGGTCAAAACTGTGAAAATGGGGAAAATGGGGAAAATGGCCACGCACGTCGACGCGGGGAGGCTCGAGGCGATCGAACGCGCGCGTAGGACACGCCGAGCCAACTTGGCGAATTATTGATTCGGAATGGTTAGGCCTTTTTCCCCCGAAGTCCTGAGTCCTGAACAAAGGAGACAGCTGGTCTCCGCGAATACTGTGAAAGGACTTCTCCTCGGGAGAGGTTTCTGGAAGGGACTGGACTGCTCGGGCCGGGCCCCGAAGAAGCACCGAAGAGGCCCCGAAGAGGAGACACTTTGGTCGCCAGCGACGCCGCCGATGTCGTAATACCGCGATCCGTCCATTGTCGGGTCGTGACTTGGGAATGGATAACGTCGCAATCGCGTTTCGTCACGATCGATCCTAGGTGTCTCCCGATCCGTCTCTCGCCCACGTGCCTCCGCGGAGACCTCGATCGATCGCCCACGAGCCCTTCGGGATAGGAAATCGGGCCTCGAGTGGCGAGTCCGTTTCTTGGCTCCGGATTAGGGGCCCTTTTCTCGCTCCTTCCGGAATATGCCCTGGGTACGTCGGAAGGGAAGGAAACGGAGAGGTGATCCGACCTTCTCGCTCGTCGGCGAACGGGGACGGAAAGCTCGTGAAAATTGATCGACCGAGTTCTTCACCGCGATCCGAGGAACTCGAAACGAGACGTCGAAATTCCGCTACCGCGTCCCGATGACGCGGTCGCATTACCTCGAGGGCGGGGACGTTCGAGGAACGGCCTCGGGGTGAAAGACGAAAGGAAAGAGGCGCCTTCTTAACGAGCTTCGGTCGAACCTACCCCCTCTAATCGACGGTGGTCAAGCCGTAAGGCTTTCTCTTGACGTCTCTTTGTCAGCGGGTCGGCGACGTCCTCGGTGGAAACCTTCCGCGCTCGCGGCCCGCAAGCGGCCGTGGTCGGACGTGCGCTCGAACGCGCACGAAGCCTGCCGGGAAAGCCTACACCATGCTCGATCGAATCCATTCGGATCGGACCGGACTGGTCCTGACTAGATCCGAGAGAAATAAACGTATTACTTTTCATAGACGTGGCTATATCGGGCAGGTATGTCAGACCAGATCGTTCGATCGTATCAGATCGGGCAAGATACCCATGAGGTGTACCTACGTCTATAACGAGTAACACGACCGATTGATTCGGATCTGATCCGATCTGAACCGATCTTGCCGACTGTAGCGTATAATCGTACAAGGGAATAAATAACAATTGCATATTCTCAGCAAAGGGCGGCGTTGCTGGGAAATTGTTGTAATATCTATTGTAAGGGCCGTGGATTATTTTCTTTTTGCGTGGAGCCAAAAACGCGTTGACGATCGCGACGATCGTTGACATTTAATTAACGACCGATTGCATTCTTCGGCTGATGATATACTCGTTATCAGCTGATGGAGCTAGCGATTAATTCCTGAAATCGTTGATTTCCCTCGGGAGTGGTCCCGCGGTTTTGGATCTGGACGTTTCACGAGCGTTCGTGGTGCTTCTGTACGTGGTGATGTGCATTTCGAGGAGGAGTGATCCAATTTCCATTTCGACTCTGTCCGAGGAACCGAAGAATGGGGGGAGGATGAATACCCTGGATGCGTGGAATCGCGTAGGTGGAGTCGTTTTGGACGTTGATGGGGCGTCGCGGCGTCGGCGAGGCGCGCGGTGACTGGGATACCGGGGGCTACGTTGAGAGGGTCAGTGACTGGAGTTGGAGGGAGACGGCCGTACTTTTACGCAGGGGTAGGGGCTACGCATCCGCTTCGAGGGTGGAGCACCGACGAAACGTACCGATTCCCATCGATTTGATTTTCCTTCTCCCGATCGAGGGGTCGGCGCTCGCTCACTCGACCCGTACGTCTGTTTGAACCTGGAATTCAGTTAGAGGTACAAACACAATGAACAGGCTTATTGGAATGTTTCTGTAATGTAGACGTTAGTGCCAATTTTTCTTTTTGTACAAAAACCAGAGCCGTTAAAAAAAGATAAAAAAAAACTATGAAAATGGTCATTTTAACGTTTTCGACGTTCTGGGAGGCTCGGAATTTTCCTAACGCCAGGGAACCCATTAGAGTCGAAAAATCCAAATTTCCACGACTTCGGATATTGTTTATCTTTTTGAACGGCTCTGGTTTTTGTAAAGAAAAAAAAATGTCACAAACAAAACTCGATATGACACAAACGTTTGCATCATAGAAACATTCCAATAAGCCTGTTCATTTTGTTTGTGCCCTCAAACTGGATTCCAGGTTCACACAGCCGACCCGTACCGCCCTCTGTGGGACCGTTTATCGAATTCGGGGAATATTGACGCAATAATGAGACTAGTGAGGTTTCGAGTTGAGTACTTTACCAACTCGCGTTGCTGGAATTCCTAAACACTGCCGACTCGAGTTTGGACTCGAGTAGACAACTCGGTGAAGAAGGGAGGAACGCGTGCGCATGTATACGGCGCAGCCAGTCGAGTAATGCGGTTTCGCTCTCGTATCTTGAATCGATTCATACCGATAACTCGAGGTACAATAAGAATGATTCGAGTTGACTCGAATCGACGAGTCGAGATATTCAACGGTACCACTCGAATTCTGGCGCCGACCGAGCGGAGAATCTCGCAGGAGTCCGAGCGCGACGTCGTCCGCGATGATTAACTTTTGTTAATTGCAATTTACGCGGCCGAAGCCGAGGAGACTCAGGGAAACGACCGGGCGTCACTCCCTCCCGAGGGTGAACCCGATGGATCGCGCGAGCCCGCCTGCTGCGTCGTCGTCGAGCCCGGTTGACCCAGTGACCCAGTTGCGACCTCGCCGTCCGCCGAGGTCCCGGCTCTCCCCAATTTCTGGCCGAACCCCGGGGACTGGCCCACTCGACTCGAAGGAGCCCCGCGAGGATCGGCCATTTCCTCCGGCCCTGGGAAATCGACTCGTCCACCTATGACCGGTCGCGATCGCGGAGGTGGAAATCGTAGACGGGATCGCGCGGTTTAAGGACGCATGAATACACATGTAGGCCAAAGATCACATTATATTCGCAATGCCGTGGAAAGATCACCACTCCCATTGGCCATGGTTTTCCCTCGGTCGGTCGAGCGAGGTACACCTTCTGCTCGCGAATGCAGGGCGCCCAGCTCGACGTTTTTACGGCGGCGCGCGTCGAGGACGTGATATTTGCCACGAGCGGCGTTCAGTCGAAACACTGTCTAGCAATACTCTTCTCCGTTTTTTTATTATTATTATTTTTTAAATTATTTTTTTAACGAACTAAGCCGTTCGGCCGAGCGTCGTCGGCGAACGTCGCGACGATCGCGCCGCGTGGGCATCGACGCGTCACGCGACGCGACGCGATCGCACTTACTCGACTGGATCGAGTCTCCGCGAAATTATTAAACGCCGTTTCCATCAAGCGAGGATGGCTACGAAACGAGATTATCCGAGAAGTCAAGTGGCCGTTTCGATATCATGTACCTTACGGTGAAATCCGTGGAACCGGTGCCATGGGTACCCTGAGAAACAAATTCGAGGTTTCCATTCATTGAATGTTAAAAATTCCCATCTAAATTCACGTGCGCGATCATTAGTGATTTCGATACCACAATAAATTGCAGCAATATTACATTGTCTCCGTGATATTGCGTTCGGCATCTGAAAGAAGTCAAAGAAGATTATAACGTAAAGTTACATGCAATTTAAGTGAAAATGCATTAATACCGTAAATATACGATGTTACGGGTATTTATAGATTTACTAAATTGTAATTTTCCCATTTTACGTTTTTCTACGTGAAAGTGAAAAACATGAGGTGTGTACAGGTGTGTTTCCATCGATTTTAATCAGTGTTCGACCGAACCGATTGTTAACGTTGCACGTAGAGTAACGTGGCGTGAAATGTCGAATGGATGGAACTCTTTTCGACGTTAACTTGTGCTGGACCGTTCTTTCCTTTTAAAACAATACATTGTTTAATCTTGCAGCACGTTTGAGCTGTAAACAGGCCGAGCGTACGCGGGTAACGGATTTTCGCGACCCTCGTGCTCTGAGTTGGTATTCCATATACTACAGAGAGAAAGACATAATTCTACGTGAAAAATAGTGCTAAACGCTACCACTATGATCTGTGAAATGGGCGCCAGTCTCTGAAAGGGATATGTTGTACAACTATAATTTTTAGAATTATTCTTCTTTTATTTTTTTTTTAATTATTTTTTTCCCTTTTAGCGCTTCCGCACATCCCTTTAGGGACTGGCACGTGTTTTACAGCTCGTAGTGGTAATGTTTAACGCTATTTTTTTTTCCGTGTAGGGGAGCGCCGGATCCCGAGCCGGACTCGAGCAGAAGAGGCCGAGCCCCACTCGTCGTCCCGTTACCGTAACAGCATCCGTAAGTGCCGTGAAAATCGAGGAAACCGTTCTCTCATACTACTCCGTACTACTCCGTACTAATCCATAGTACGGGCGCACGCGGTTCGATCGCCGTTAGCGTCGATTCGCGACCGATTCAACGGCAGCTAGGCCGGGGAGGAAAATCCACGGCCGCCGATTGGCCCGTCTCGAATTCTTACGGTAAATCCCACCGCATAAATATTAATGCGTTTTATCAAGCAATGCGCGCGATACCTTTTTCCGCGCACGGACGGGAGTTAGCGCGCGCGCGTCATTTGCGGTAAGTGCGCATGAATGCACCATTCATAACGTACGGTGTCGCTGCGCCGCCATGTTATTTACATGCTGACCGAGATTGTACCGAGGAATTACACCGTGCGAGTTTAAAATGCTTTCCGAGCTTTCGGCGGAATTACCTGGGCGAGGGAACGCGTCGAACGTAATTTACGTGACGGAGCTTCGAAGGTGCACCGCCGATGTACCCTGGCGAGGTTACGCGTCGAGTGTTCGATTGCGAGCCGTAACCCTTCCCTTTTCTCTTCTCCGAATCTTTAGAGCAATTATGAAACTCCACCATCGTTGTACTTGGTCGATCGCCTCGAGCTCTTTCGAACGTTGGTTCGTAAATCGGTGCGCGCGGCTCGCGAGATAATTCACGGATGCTCGACGCACTCGTTAATCTACATTGTTAAAAAAAAAAGGCATAAATTTCATACACTTTTAATACATAAGGTTGTAGTATAATTATGAGTTTTATGTCTCGGCAGTGAATTAGTACACATTTATCATGAAATTCTAAGGAAACTTAAAATTTCATAACATCGTGCTGCAATTTTACGCGATTCCGCGGAAAAATGATAAATATCGATATTTGAAAGTCAGTATGTATTGTTTATGAGGTTTTTAAATGGGGTCTCAGTTTTGTGATCGTGTACATAAGTTTATTTTTAAACAAAGTATCAGTGGCATTGGCAGGGTGCATCTTAGCGACCTTCTTCAGTGAGAGTAATACTCCACTAATATTCGAAATGACTCCGGTATGGAAATATTAAATAGGATACTACGGTAGCATAATGGTCAACATGATTGCTGTTTACCCGCGAGTCTCGGGTTCGGTTCCCCGACAATCGCAAAAAGATTTTTCCAGCGTTCATGACAGGGCTGCCTATAAAGACGTACTCGTAATCAGACATGCCCGGGACAAACGTCAAATTTGTTTGTCCGCGGGAGAAACGTTTAAAGTCAGGCAATGCTCGACAGAAATTTATCCCATATGTTATAAAATCAGTATATCATGTTCGGATAAAATTTCGAACGTTGTTAGAATTGTAATATCTTCTTTAACAGTGTAGGGTTGCGTAAACGCCGCGCAGAAGTTGAAGCGTTACAGTCGTTTAAGGGGACGTGGAAAGTGGCATCCAAAAGCTCAATCGTTCATAAAACTTTTCTACGCACTAGCTGTCTCAAATCGTTTCATACTTTAAAACGTGAATACGGAGACCCAAAGGTAGGTCCTAAAACTCGCGAAATGTCATTTTGTTATAAACTATTTTTAAAATACCTATAAACAAATTTAAAAATAATTGAAATTTCATGAGGTTCATGACCTTCCTTATAGTCTCCCCATTCACGTTGTAACGTTTCAAACTATTCGGTAAACCGAGTTGGGAGAAAAGTAGTATAAAGAAAACCTCTTCGACGCCACTTTCACATCCCCTTAACGTATGTACGACGCCGTGTAACGGGGAACGCTAGATGCGTAGATGCACTTTTAAGGAATCGTTGCATATTCCCGCGTCGAAATTATTTCATCTTCCTCGAGCATGTATGCGTACAAGACGTGCGAGTCGGAAGCTCGGATTAACTTCCCTGGTCGGCGGTCGCGAAGTCGTAGGTCGCTCGACGCGTCTCTCAGGGTCGGTGGAGTCGCTCGCGCTTACGTTCGCGTAACGAATCTCCCGATGCGTGGCAATATATAAACGGATGCCTGCCAACGAGCGCGCTGGTGTCGCGGTTTTATTGTGTTATCGCCGAGTTATCGCGCGTTCGGAGGAAAGGCGCCGCTCGTTCGGTGCGAGACGAGCGTAGAAAGGGTGAAGAAAGCGGTCTCACTGTTTCGACGGTTTCGACAAAACGACGAAAACCCTTCGGAGTTACCAAAAATGACGGATTAGGACCGTTCGATATCTAGCATTAAATACGGGATCTTTTACTTATCGGTAATTGTCGCTATATCGTTGTTTCAGTATTTACCAAAGCTCGAGTTTCCATTTCTCGCTGTAGCATTTATACCATGGTCTCGATAATTACGGAAAGTCGAGTATATGGCAACGCGTCAGAAATGATCGAAACTTGATGTTTGATTTTTGATAAAAAAAATTAAGAATTATCACGTAACATCGTTTGAAGTGTTCTTTTCTTATTAAAAACATTAATGAAAGTACCGAGCTTGGATATGTCGAACTTTGGTCATTTTTATAGTTACAGGGTGTATGTTAAAAATGGCGGACACGGTTTACTCAGGGCTATCCTTGTTGGAAATGGCGTCAAATAATTTTCTACTATTGTTTTCTATAGTGAATAGTTTATTTGAAATAATCAATTGAAATATAGCTAATGAGGTGCGTCGATTAGAAAAATGCGAATTGAGAAGCTCGCTTTAAGTTGTCTACCACCGCAGACAACGGAGTGTAGCCGATTCGCGTTCGGCTAATCCACGGGCATGATTAGCTATCTTTCCATTAATTAGTAAAAGAAAATTATGCACTTTAGAGAAAAGATAGGACGTTTCGTCTCCATTTTCGACAAGGATCACGATGTTTAAATCGTGTCCACAATTTTTTAAACATCCTGTATCTCGGTCAGATGGTTAAGACCCTGGACAAGATGGTCTTCCTCGAGGGCGATCACGAGATTGAAGGATCCGGGCGTTCGTTTAGTTAATAAGAGTCGTTTTTCTATGCAGGTTACGGGAAAACACACAAAGACGCTGCCAGTGTCCGCACAACGCACTCCATACCGGCTGCCTGCGGTCTGTACTACTTCGAGGTGAAAATCGTGAGCAAGGGAAGGGACGGGTACATGGGCATAGGCCTCTCCGCGCACGGTGTCAACGTGAACAGACTTCCCGGATGGGACAAGCACTCTTACGGGTACCACGGCGACGACGGCCACAGCTTCTGTTCCTCGGGCACCGGCCAGCCGTACGGGCCAACCTTCACCACCGGTGACGTCATCGGTTGCGGCGTCAACCTCGTGGACAACACGGCTTTTTACACGAAGAACGGCCATCATTTGGGCATCGCCTTCACCGATCTACCTGTAAGGAACCGGCGCACCGGCGACGTCTTCTAAAGAGTCGTCCCTTTAGCGCCAAGTAGCGGTAACGCAGCTGATCCGCGCGACTCGATTTAACTCCGTCAATTTCTTCTCAGCCTAATCTGTATCCAACGGTGGGCCTGCAAACACCGGGCGAGGTCGTGGATGCAAATTTCGGCCAGTCCCCGTTCGTCTTCGACATCGGCGACATGATCAACGAGCTTCGGGCACGGACGAGACTACGAATTATTAATTTCTCCACTTTGGATCTTGGACAGGGCCAGTGGCAGGCTGTCCTTCACAAGTGAGTGTCGATTTAACGCGGCGCGAATCGCTCGTAGATAATCCGCGACCTCTTTCCTTTGATCCCGACAGAATGGTGTCCACGTACCTCGTCCATCACGGTTACTGCGCCACCGCCGAAGCCTTCGCCAGCAGTACGGGTCAAGTCTTCGAGGAAGACTTCAATTCTATTAAAAATAGGCAAAGTGAGTTTGGAGGGGTGTCTTGGCCAGTCCGAGTATCGCCAGATCGAGGGACGACGGTGACTTAACGTGCCGATTCGATTCGTAGGAATTTTAAAATTGGTCCTAGCCGGCCGCATGGGCGAGGCGATCGATCTGACCAGTCGGTTATATCCGGGACTTCTGGAACGCGATCCCAACCTGATGTTCGCTCTCAAGTGCCGCCAGTTCGTCGAGATGGTGAACGGCAGCGACTCCGAAGTTTGCCAGAGTACCAATGAGAACCAAACTAGCGTTATACAATCGACCAAAGCTTACGCGAAGTCTTCGACCAACGGAAACGTCGAGGACATGAATCTAAATAATACTTTAAACGGTGCCAGCGACCAGCAGTTCATAAACGGCCAGATCGAAGACGACGTGGACATGGAGGAGACTACCATGGGAACGATGAACGGTATCAAGAGCAACAACGGGTACCAAAATGGCAATCCCAGCGCAAACGGGTTCAAGTGTCAAAACGGCGAAGACGTAGACATGGGTGAGGCAATGTCTTCCGTATATACACGCGATTGCTCTCTTCTTTATGTTTAATACGATCTCAAGGTTTTTAGGGCCGCGCGTAGTTGGACGCGGGAGCGGGACGAGAGGCGCGTTCGGATTCCCACGCGAATAGAATAGTTTTTGCGGAGCCAATCGATCGCGGTTGCAGTTAATGCCCTCGTCCCCGACCTGTCTGTTCGCAGAAGTCGACGGCACCGGTCAGAGCCAACAGCAGCAAAACGGCAACTGCGTCGTCGGGGTCGACGGGGTGACGAGCGTCGGGAAGAACAACAAGAAGCAGCTGTGCGGCGGCAATAAGCAGGCTATCGAAAAGATGCTGGAATTCGGCAGGCAGTTGTACTCCCAGTCGATACATCTCAGGCAGCAGCACGGCAAGAACGAGGAGAACAAGAAGATGTTGCAGGATGCGTTCAGTCTGTTGGCTTACTCGAACCCGTGGAACTCACCGGTCGGGTGGCAGTTGGATCCGCAACAGAGGGAAACAGTATGCGCCAGGCTTAACTCCGCCATTCTCGGTAAACGTCATGCCGTAACCCGCGCGCTCTTCGGTTCCTCAGGGTGGAGGATAATCTCCGGCTTTGCTTCCCTCAGAGTCCAGCAATTTGCCGCGTCGACCGCCCCTGGAGGTGGCGGTGTCTCACGCCAGAGAGTTGGTACGCCTGATGTCGAGTGTCGGCCTCGGAGCCTGCGGGTTCGCGGTGGTAGATAACATTATTCAATATTGACGGTGCCTCCCTCTGCTCCCACGACCGCCCCTTCTGCCGGCCCGTGTGTGGTAAGTCCGAGCTAGACTGTACATATAGAAATATGAATCTAACGACCTGTGCCTGAGTGCGCAAAGGTATATACCAAATCGGAAAGCGGAAAGCGATGTGCTTCTTAGGGTCGCTCTCGGGGCCTAGTAACCGCAGGTCGGCGGGCACAGCTGTCAAAAACAGCTGTTTGCGCCCAGCTATACCTGTCTACCGCTTACCGAGAGAGCATGATACGTTCGCGATCGACTCGAGGCGGAGTATAACGGCTACACGTAGCTCGTTAGCAAGATGTACGCATCTCCTCGAGGGCAGTGACTCGAGTCAAACCGATGTCCTGGAGGTGGTGAAAAAACCAAGGATCTTTTAGGACGCGGAGACGGAACGTGGAGCAGATGATTCTGTTGACGCAGCAACATCGCGATGTCGCGTGCCTCTTCAGCTAGAGCAACCCGATTAATCGGCGATACTCGGCTAGATCTCACACCACTGACACGACATAAGATGAACGTTCAGACCTGCCAACCAAAATGACACTTGACGTTTTTAGCTTAAAAACACACGCGGAACGAGATAGATACGAACTGGGAGTCGCAGAGAGGGGAGGAGAGAGGAAACGAACGAGCGAGCGAGCGAGAGAGATCGAAAGGGAGGGAGAGAAAGAGGGACGGGAAATGAGAGAACTGGCCAATTTTGCGCGTGTATGTACCGCCGAATCTACCAAGAGCAAAGAGGACGGCGGTGAGCGCCGTGCTCCCTCGTTTCCAGATGCTTGTCGAACGCTCAACTGGTACGGCCAAGCGCGATGGCTTCCACTTTGCCATATTCCTTTTTTTTTTATTTCACTTTATGAATTATCTTACTTTTTTTTTTTTTGTAACTCCTTATTAAGACTTGCCCTTCGGTTTGTCCAGCGCGCCGAGCCGCCTGTCTCGTTCCTATGCCTTAACAATCGTGTGCAATACCGTGGTCGCAGTCGATCGAGCAATCAAGTGCGGAAACGTCACCGTAGCTCAGCCTTTACTTCTTGTTTGTTGTTCGGCCAAAAAGGCTTTGCCCGAATTTCTCAACCGTCCGAGGATGAAGACGTCGAAGTATCGCGTTATCTTGGATCTCGGGTTTCTTTCTTTGTTATTGTTGGGAGGAAAATTGGTTGGTACTTTTAGTGAAAAGAAACGGATGAAATAAAAGAGATTTTACGTTTCACTTTGCACTGTTACCTCCGTCGTGTGACTTTCACCGTGTTCGTTTTCGGTGTAGGATTTATGTGTCAGTGGAAATTTCTGGCATTAGGGTCCGTAAGTTAAAGAAAAAGAAAAGGCGTCCCATTAAAAAGAGATCCATCGACATCGAATATTTTCTTGTGGAAAATCAGTTTGGCAACCCTTCGCACTGTAGACCATTGCGGAGGTTCGTTTTAAGGACGATTGCCTACTGGCCGGTTCTGCGAGAAAAAAAAAATGTCTGTGATATGTGGACGAAAAAGTAAAAAAAAAAAAAGAGAAATTACAGTGAAAACGAACCTAGAGATCCTTTCATTCGACTGGCGCTCGCAATTGTCTGGGAACGAGGGAACGTATTCATTTTAGAGATGGACAAGGTCTTACGTTTATATATAAATAATTATCAGAAGCAAAAACAAAAACTTAACTAAGGAACGATCTTGTACTCTATACTAAGTAATTGTTTTTTATATGCGACATAGTATATTATTATATTATATATTATTAAAGAAGAAAAGAAAGGAAATCGTATGCAGCTAGGCGTAAGCGTGCGTTTAAATACAATAATTTACTATATATACAACAGAAAAAAAAACAATATAAATTAAATAGGTTTACTCGAATTAAATGATTTTTAGTGTTACGTTTTATGTACTATAGATAGCGCTAAAATGCGAAATATGAGCGAATACAAACAATATCTTGGAAAAAAAAACCACACAGAAAGATTTGAAGTGATTTTTTGTCTCATTCGTATGCCATTACGAGGCGCCTTGACTAGGACCCTTCGAGTCTTAAGGACTCTTGTACAGGGTGAATCAGGACTATGCTCCAGGACCGTCGAATAAACCCGATCAGCTGACACGGCCGAGGAATTGCAGACTCGATCCTACAGGGGCCGTAAAATCGCATAATGTACTTCTGGTGTTGGGCCGTGTGAATTTATTTACAACGAGGAAACGAAGTATCGCAATTTACTAAAAAAAATTCCAATTAGATGTCAGCAATGATGACCCGTACGGATAAAAGCAACAACCTGCAGTTGCATGTGCTTCTTTCTCACTGTTCGCAAATAATGCTCGGAAATTCGTTACTTGCATTTCCAAACGAGAAGATACAATGGTAATTCGCAATTTCATACTCGCGAACGACACACGACGCGCTATGATTCGCTGTTTGTATAAACTAGCCACGAAATCGCCCAATACTGTCCGCGAGCGAGTCGATGGCTGTTTCCGATGACCGGGCAAAAGTTGGAAGTCCCACAGTGCAAAATACGCGTTACGAGAACCTATCGAAAAATGTTCGTTTCTTGATTTCTCGTTACTTTCCCCAACCGCTTTTCCCGTTGTAAGTGTATCTCCTTTCCCCGCTGCCCGCGTCCCGTCCCCGCACGCGTCGCCGATTGTAACGCGTTTACCTAACATAATTTTAATTTTTCCGTTTTTATTATTGCTTACAGATAAATATTACATATATACATATATATATATACACATATACATATATCTACGAAATATTTGTTTAATATATATACATAGTTTGCAATACTTTTTTCATTGTTTTCCCCAAGTTTTCGCTCCGGTTCCCCAGAGAAGACGCTTCCGGTGCGTTCCTCGTTTAATTCGACTTCCCGTTAAGTCGATCCCGGGAAAGAAAATCTTGCGCGACGTCTTACCGCAATTCTTACGCTACCCGTAGGAATATTCGCGACGTCTTTCCGTTTTCTCACCGGAGCGCGAGCCGCATTGCGGAAACGCCGCTAGGAAATTAAACGAAAGTTTGGCCGATGTTAAATCTCGCGGTTACGCTATACCGTTGCCGTTATTACGTGTCTTTGCTCAAGACGAAGGCAAACGAAGCGTCTCCGTCACCCTTCACTTTCCGTTCGGGGCCATGATTTTCGCGAACGATTTTCTTTCGCCGCGCAGACTCCTTCTCGCTACTTTCGCGATCTCTCCCTTAAGATTTGTCGAACGATCGACGTTACTTTCGTAGCCGTCGAGTCTGAAGGGAGCAAACGATTTAAGGTGATACGAAAGTGGCAGCTGGGGGATCAATCGGTTATGTAACTTTTCTGTAAATTGGATGTACGGAATCCTTTGGAACTTTACCACGCGAATATAGAGGCCCTAGGGAAGATCTCGACACTCTCGAAATCCCATTTCTGATGAATAACTAAGAAGATGTTCATAAATGAATGTAAAAGAATTTGAGTTTCATGGATGTTAGGACCTTTCTTACGGCCCCACATTCATGTGGTTTAATTTCATACGGCTAGGCACGTCCGGTTTCGGGAAAAGTTTCATAAACGGGACTTTCATGTCACCTTAAAGACGCGATGTGGAGAAGCGCGCTTCTGGTTATGTAACTTTTTTGTAAACTGGATGTACGGAATCGTTTGGAACTTTACCACGCGAATATGGAGGCCCTAGGGAAGATCTCGACACTCACGAAATCTCATTTTTGATGAATAACTAAAAAGATGTTCATAAATGAATTTAAAAAAAGAATTGAATTTCATGGATGTTAGGACCTTTCTTACGGCCCCACATTCATGTGGTTTAATTTTATACGGCTAGGCACGTCCAGTTTCGGGAAAAGTTTCATAAACGGGACTTTCATGTCACCTTAACCCTTTGAGCGCTATGGACCCATAAATGCGTCCGACGTTTGGTTCAATTTTGCTTGCACGCGCTGACGAAATTCGCCCATACGCCAAAAGGGCTTAGCGCTCAAAGGGTTAATGATGCGAAGTGGAGAAGCGCGCATCCTGGAGGCCGCAGGTACGCGAAGTACCGAGCGTCGACTCGAGCTTGACCCATTCTTTCTTCCTTTCCCTTCCCTTTAGCGATCGTAGATCGTCTGCGGGCGATTTCTCTCGTGTTAATAAATGTGACGTAGGTACATAAAACACACTTGGACGCTTACGTCGAGCATTCGGTACGATGAGGCTGCACCTCGCGAATCGGACGTATACTCGCGATTCTCGAGCACTCGCTCGAGTCCCATTCTACTTGCTGGCTTGTACGTTCTCCATGCACGCGACTGCATACAACTGCATGCGACGTCGTAGGTACCTTTTAACGGCTGCACCTTAGCCTCGGTTTCGATCGACTCGTCGAAGCTCATTCGAAGGTATCTCGGAATGCGAGTGTCCTGGAATTAATGACGGACACGAGGCTCAACAATTGAATTATTCCTCGCGTCGAAGTCTCTTCCATTTCTTCCTACCGTGTTAAAAGAGCTAACCATGAGTCGATCCTCGCGGCCCGGGCTCGATCGATAACGATTAACGTTAGAATTATCAACGACTTACGGATACTCATCCGACCGTTACGGGAGGACCTAGTAATCGTACGTATAAGATCGGACCCATGGTAAGATTCACTGTCCATTTCTTTGTCGGCGAAGTCGATTTATTTCCTTATCTATACGCAGGAGCGGAGAGCGCAGACCGACGACTTCGCGTTTTAAGGTCCAGGGTTGGCCTTCTAGGACCTTTCAGGATGTGTATCCGCCAGGGATATCCTTAATCCGTACTTTCGATAGTTTAGGTACAAATCGCTTTTAGCCGAAACCTTTGCGTAACAATTGAGGACAAAGTTAAATCTTCCGAGCGCTGGCATATCTAAATATTTTACTTGTGATACACACGTATATATATATATATATAGATATTTATCCGGACGGATTGTTTAAGGGAAAACGACCATCGATTTCTAGTGAGTGTCTATGTTTACGAGGATAATTAGCGTTAGCGTAGGATATACACGTCGAGATATCCAAACTTTGATTAAAAAGAAACAAATTATTTTTCTACTCGCACGTTACGGTCGCTCGCGGAGGCGAGCTGTGGCATTATGTGTACCGAATGTGCGACACGTACAATTAGTATTACGTATATCTCGTGAATGTGTGCGCGTCAGTTTCGGCGGTACATAGGGTGGTCCAAAGGGTCGGGGAAGGGGAAGGGCGATCCCGGGCGAGAGGGGAACCAGGGAAAATCGAAAGGAGCCGAGAGAGCGTCTCGGGGAGAGACTAGGCGAGAGACGCTCGGCGTCGACCGGGGACTCCCGGGATGGCCGACTCGTTCGAGGAGGAGGATCGCGAGTTTGCGCGATGCGCACTTTTGGACCGATCTATTGCCGAAGGAATGCATTTAATATAACAGAAATTTTTCAATACTCGAATGTAATATGTGATAGAAGCCATGTGTAAATATGTAAGGGTGTGCACCACCGATTTAACCGACGACGGTAACACGATATTTTCAATGATATACACCTGTAAAAGGATCCGTGTTAAATTATACATATATTAATATAAATCTGGTCAGCGAAGGACTTATTATACTTTTACTTGAACGTTCACTCACCACCCGCAGGAGCAGAGAGTAGGACCGACGAATAAGATCGATAAAGTTCGAGCTATCGACTGGGTGGATTAACGAAATCGCGCTCTACCGTTGGCCCGGAAGACGGTCGATTCCGTGTTTCGATTTCGAGGGTCCTGGATCTCGATCGATCTCGATCGATCTCGATCCGCCGGGGTCACGGTAAGTCAAGGGAAGCTGCCTCCGAACCCAACGCGCACTTCTCGCGTCGATCCTCTTGGATTTTCGGCTCTCCGTCGCCACGACGTTCCACCGACGAAACATATTTGTATATAAGGTAGTCCTTTAGACACATGTCGCTATTAATACGGTTAACTCGGAGGGTAGAACCGAAAGCGAATCAATCGCGACGCGCGTCGAGACGCCTCTCACGGCCCGGCATGTGTGTCGTGCCGGGGCCTCACCACTTGCCGAAATCTCGAGAAAAGAAATGTGCAATAATTGTAATTAATATGTAGAGCGGCGCCTAAAGACTCCGCTACTTTCTAACGCGGATGCTTTGAACAATGGACAACAATGAACAATGTTTGATACCGAAATACATATTATTATAGGAGGAATAAATTTTATGTTTAAGATCGGCTTACCGTTCTTTATGTCCACTTCCTCGGCGTCACGTCGGTTTCCGTCGAGTTCCCTGGATACAGCCGAAGCTTTCGGAAATAACCCTCGATGCGTATTCCCCCGCTTCGGATTACGTGAATGTACAATTATAAACGGTCACTCTTAAAGTTGAACGCAAATCGGAGAAAAGAAATTTAATTGACTCGGGAAATAGGTATACTTATCGGAGGAGCGATACGACGAGTGCCCTCGTTGAAAAGGGTTCGCTGAGCATCCGACAGATGCCGCCATCATCCGCTTCGGTACCTCGGAATTTCCGTTTCCACTTGGGGTCGGTAACCTCGGCGTTCGCAGGTAGTCGGGCACCGTTGCACCGTCCGCTGAGAGATGGCGCCAGTGGTCGACCGAAGGTCGCGCAGCGGCGTACGTTCCGCGGGGGATCGATCGACGCGCGACGCCGCGGCGCGCTGGCAGCTCGGCGGCGGCGGGAGCGGCGGCATCGGGCGGGGCGAGAGGGCGCGGCGGTCGAGACTTCGGGCCAGTACGCGTCAAGCTCGCCGCTGTTAAGAGTGTCCGTTTGATCGGTACCTCCTGTCTCGCGTTTCTCGCGAGTCCCCGTCCTCAGGAGAGAGCGGAGGCGCGCCCGGACTTCCGCAGGAAGGCCCCCGGGTCTTCTCCGCGAGTGCCGCCCGGCCGATGGAAAACCGGTGAAAAGAAACCCGAGGTTTTTCGGAAAAAGGCGATCCAGCCCGTGGTGTGTGCTCTCACGCGCCGACCCTCCGCCGCCCCCCCTTCTCTCTCTCCCGCTCGCCCTGACTCTTTCTCTCTCCCCGTCTCGGAACCCCCCGTGAAGACTCGCTCGTGCGCGTCGCGGGACCGTGCCGGTCGCGCGGAGGTTCCTCCGAATTATCGATCAAATAGCCCGTCGAAAGGAGAAAGGAAAAACGTGCCGGGAGCGCCGCGAAAGCGGCCTGCGCCCCTCGGGGAGGACGTCGGACTCCCGCGGCCACGACCCGTGCATGTCCCCGCCCGGACGGACCCCCGACTACCCTGGCACCTAGCGGACGCCGCTGCGTGGACGACGGGGTAGCGGAGAAAGTGAGTATCCTCGCGGGCCCCGCCAGCGCCCCCGGCGAGGCGTCAGGCGGCGCGAGCGAGCCACCCCTCGCCCCCTCTCCGCCCTCGCTCGCGCATCCCCGGGCTCCCCGAGCTCCCCGGGCTCCCCGGGATCCCCGGAGACTCGGACGCGGCCGGAACGCCACCTGGATTATCCCCTGATCTTTCTATCCCCTATCACCAAAAATCGCCCTCGTACGTGATCTACGTTCTCGAATTAACCCGGGACAAGGGTCCCGTCCAATCGAGCCGATCGTTCGGGCTGGTTGAACCGTGAACCGCGAGGGGGCCGGGGACGATAATCGGGGACACGCCTCGTCCGCGAGGTGCGATCGAAGCACGGTTTTACGCGCAGCGAGGCGGAGGACGTTGGCCCTCGGGGGCTTCTTTCGCTAGGAGGAAGCCGAGGGTCCTGCCTTACAGAAGCTAAGGTCCGTCGCGATCTTTGCAGGCCTGAACTCGTGACGAAGTCGCGGTCGAAATCGGCGCAAGGGTGGCGTCTCTCGTCGGCGGCGGCGGCGGCGGAGGCGGCGGCAGTGCCAGGGTGCGGTGCGCGCGGCGGTAGTGGGCGGAGGCGAGGGTGCTGCAGGCGGATCCTGGAAAAGGGCGCGGGGGTGGCGTTTGTCAAGGCAACGTGTAGCAAGATGGGCTGCGCCATGTCCGCCGAGGAGCGGGCCGCTCTGGCCCGCAGCAAGCAGATAGAGCGGAACCTCAAGGAGGATGGCATCCAGGCGGCCAAGGACATCAAGCTCCTGCTGCTCGGTAAGTCCTCGACGACGATCCCTGAATAATCTTCCCTTACCCCGAGACTTTTCTCGATTTTCTTCGCTCGAAAGAACCCTTTTTCGGCTTCGCGGAGACTTCCAGGGAAGGGGGAAAGGGTGAGGCATGAGGTCGCATTTTTCTACCGAGAGGTTCCCGGTTTGAGAACGTAGGGAACTCCGGTGGCAAATTGCAAGGCGGAGGCTAAGGAGCGCGGACGACGGCGCACCACGTGGTCGGTGACAGCTCGATGGATGCGCGCGCACTCGCGGCGCACCACTCGCGACCATTTCGGAACGCGCTCAACCGGCTTCTCGAATCGCGTCGAGGATCTTCGCTCGAACGATCCCGGGGAAATCGATCGTATTGGATGTGAGTTCTTTGCTAAGGGAGTCGAACACGGGGAAATCGACCGGAATGCTTCCTTTTCGAGTTCGAGAGAGGCGCCTCCGCGTCGAACTGATGCGCGCGGCTAGGGCTCTTAGGACGGAGCAATTAGAGCGGCTAATTTCGCGATACACGTATCCGGTTTAATTCGCGAGACAATTTAGATGGGTCGTCGCGTTCGATACCTCCCGTTGTCAAAAGGTGTCGATTGATAAAGGAACTTGTCCCTTTGGGAAAGGACGGACGGAGGTGTCGTCCCCTGCGTATCATGGAAAACGACAAGGACTGAGAGAACGTTTTCTGCTCGGGATGTTTCGTTCCATTAAAAAAAAATTCTTTCACTTGGAGAGGGCGGTACGCCCAACTGACGCTAGTGAAATTTGAATTTTTTTTTTACACCCAGTTAGGAAAAGTGTTTCACGAACGATTGATCCCTCGGATGCCACTTTCATATGACCTTAACCTCGGGAAACTCCCTTCGAGAGGGCGCGGGTAGGAACGTCCAAGGCTATTTTTCGAAATTTCGGAACGCGAAATCGGTGCCTTCGAAATGGAATCGCGTTCCTATTTCTGCGGCGATTGAAATGTCACGCGTCAGGGAGACGAGCAAAAGCCATCCGGGTCTCTTCTTTACGAGCTTGCCGAGCTGTCGCGGATCAACCGAGGAATACTTCTTTGTGGTCTGTGCCACAGGCAAGGATGTCGTCCAAAGGCATCCAAATGGCGTCCGAATGGAGTCAAAAAGCGTCCGCCGAATCGGGAACGATTAGTTTTTTCACTTCCAGGGAAATTATGCTTGGCGGGATGAGCGAATTCGCTCATACGAATAGTTCTCTTCCTTCCAGGCGGTCCAGATCCGTCCAGCGCTCGGAATGCTCGTGAAGGAATTAATCGGGAATTTTCTCGATATTCGGCTGCTTCTGGTCGAGTTGGCTTGATGAGTTAATGGCGTAAATGCCGAGCTAACTCGTGCCATATGCGTCAGAAATTCGACCTAATTGTCGTGACGTCGAGGCGATCCCGGTTCCACTCATCGGGAGGGAGATGGTCCGGGGTGCTTTCCCTCCGCTCGTAGTCGCCCCGTTATAACGTAATCTTCGACCCTGGCTTGAGGAAATGATTTGTCGACTCTGTCGCGGAACCCCATTTCTTTTTCTTTTTTTATTACAATTTCATAGGTTCGTGCGAGTGGCGAGTTTTCAATCGGCTCGGTCTGGGATCGAGGGTCATTTTCATATAGGACAATGTACACAAAAATTATCAAACGTACCAATTATCGGACGAATTTCCAATGTGATCGGATGAATTTAAAAATAAGGCACATTTATTCATCTATTCCTACTAATCAACGTTCTATTTTCATATTTTGGTCATATTTTATCCACGTTGGACCAAAAACGGCAATGGCCTCATGCGTTGGCGGGTCGTTCGGCGAAGCATATGAGAAGCGTCAAGTATCGAACATATCGAACGAGCTTCCAAAGTGATCGGGAAAACTTAAGATTAAGGCGACATTTATTCATCTATTCCTAACCAATGTTCTATAGACTCATATTTTCTCCATGTTGCACCGAAACCGACAATGGAAGCACGCTTTGGCAGGTCGTTTGACGGGTCACGCGAGAAGCGTCAAGTATCGAACGAAGCACGCCGCGTTCCGGGGTACTCGAGGGTGCGTATATTTGGCCCACGAGACGGGATTCCAGAGTCAGGTTCGCTTCCGTTTCGGCGAATTTCGGGTTCCCTTGCTCGGCGACCCTGACCTACGCCGTCCGAGATATACAAGTACGTCGAGCAAGACGAAGAGAGGGAGAGACCGATGAAAACGCAAAGCCAGCACTCGTGAACGCTGGAACGCGATACTCTTACGCTGACAAGTTCCAAGAGGGGTCGGGAAAGTCTTCCGAGTTCGATCGATCCGAGTACACGCGAGCCATCTAAAAATAATGGACACCCGACGAAGGCGGGGCTCTTCCGGGTGTTTTCTGACCGGACCTTCCGAGTCCCCGCAACCAGTTGCCGACTACGGCCTGATTCGAATTGGGAGCAACGAGCTACCATGAACGTCGGACCCGATGGCTCCCTTGATATTCCTGAGACCGTGGGGAGAATACAAGAGGGCGGACAGGGGACGATTCCTTCTTTTTTGCTCGTTAACGTATTCGCGATCTTCAAATTTTTTCCGTTTCAAATACCTAGTACCGGCGAAAATAATGAAATTTTGATACTGGTTGCCGCAAACTTGTATCGTGTATCGTTATGGACGCGATTCACGTCAGCGGCAATCAGGAATAGAATTTAAAATGACGTGAATTCACGTCAGCGGCAATCAGGAATAAAATTTAAAATGACGTGAATTCACGTCAGCGGCAATCAGGAATAGAATTTAAAATGACGTGAATTCACGTCAGCGGCAACCAGGAATAGAACTTGAAAAGACGTGAGTTTACGTCAGCGGTCGCGAATGTGTTAATAGATACCCGGTCGCCATATCGCGTTGCGTAGCTGTTGGCAAAATCAAAGGGAAAGGGAGAAAGGAGGACGTCTCTTGATTTCCATCAGTTCTGTTTATCATCTTCGCATTACGAAGTTCACCGTGATCTTTCGACCTCTTCCCTCTACGACCGCCCCGTGAGAACTCGTTGCTACGACGCGCCTTTCCTAGAGATTCACTTAAGAAATTCAGAGAAACTTGACCTTCTCGGCTAGCCGACGTGATAGTACAATCTCGTGACGCAGCTCGTACGATAGCGATATCCGTTGAAAGAGGAATGTTTAATTTCGGAAGACTCCTTCGCTCGAAGCGAAGAAATTTTCGCGAACAAGGACGACGACGTAGGAAGCAATTGTTGGTATCCGAAATATTCGAGGTGGTAGTCACAATCAAACCGCATGAGCAGGGCGCGATCGACCTCATGGGGTGAAAATCGACGTCGATTGGGGAATTGCCTCCGACGTGGGAGGTTACCCTCTCTTAGGGAATTCCTCCAGTTTTCCGTAAAAAATCACGACGCTCGGGAACACCTCGGAGCATGGTTTCTTGGAAGATGTGCGCCTCCACCGAAATTTGGCTCTTGTTTATTGGTGTAACCCGTGACGTCATCGCTGAGCACTGTGTGCATCCAGCTGAGTATTTCCATCCGGTTACAGCCGTGTCCGAGGCTCGTCCTGAAAGAGCGTGCGTTTCTCATGGATGGATAATCGATCTTAAAACCCGGCTTCTCGTTATTAGAAACAAGATACAGTCGCGAACTATCCGATGCATTTGGAAGGGAGTCAATTGATATAAGGGGGTATATAGGCTGTGAACTGCGGTTTAATCAAAGTGAGTTTAAATTAGAATGAAAAGGTATAGGAAGTATTTTTTTTCGAGGTTGTTTTATTTAACTTTCTATGGAGAATGTGGGACGAAAAAGGTTTTAAAGAGTCTCAAAACGGCGGTCTGAGATTCCTGACTATGCACGGTGTACACTGGCTGAGATGAATGCCTCCATTGCAGATATGGTGCCGGCAAAGTATGAAAGAAAGACATTCATGTCCGCCACTGTACATGTTTCCAGAAGAGTGGCAGGTTTGAAACAAACAGTTCAGGTGGTTAGTGGTTATGTAAAGGAGGATACTAAACTCGGGCGTTCGATTGGCGTGTATTTTTTAAATTGGCTGACATGATTTCTCAAAAACTGAATCGATTCTGTTCAAATTCATATGGTATGTTCAGTACACTTATAGTTCTCGCTCGAACTACGATAATTATGATATTTGTCATAGGTTTTTTTTTAGCAAGCTTAAAAAATCCGAAACAAAAAGACAAAAATCGGAATTAAATGTTCAAAATCGTGCGGGAAATTTAATTTTCAATATTTTTATTTAATCCTAGTTCCGGCTACAGCCACAGGTCTACGGATTAAAATGCCATTTCCCTTGTTGATTTCCGATGAACATGACAGCCGGAATCACGTCAGCCGTCAATTTACTTTTTTGTCACATCTGTGTCTTTCTGATTCCAATCTATACTTTTGCTTGAAAAAATTCTGAGTGACTGTATAAATGTTGATATGAATATATTGTAAAAATTTCAAGATGGGGTGTTTTCGTAGTTGGTCAGAAAAAATTCACAAGGAAAGCGAAAAAATACTGCCGTCACAGGGTACTGCCTTAACGTTGAAGGTACCGAAGAAAAAGGAAGACGATGTAGCGAGCTACCGGCGATTGACAGTGTTAGCTCGAGGGACGCAAGAACTCGTATCGACTGCTCGTCGTCGGCGCGGACGCACCTTTACCTGTACTACTTAGGTGAACGAAGTAGTGCCACCTGACTATCATCGGGCGCTGCACCGATCGAAAGCCGCCGTCAAGATGGACGTTTTGCGTCGTTCGCGGTGCTTTTCTCTATTTCACGCGAGTACAGAAATACCCAAAGCGGCCGTTCCGTCGAAAGAGGAAAGGGGAGCGTTTCGCACCCTTTGAAATTCACCTGAACGTCGATAACGTATCGGAATTTCCTCGATGCAATCGAGACGGCCTCGAGACGCGATACCAAAGTGAAACGTCGAGACTTTTAACGGCGTCGGTACATCACGATAAACCGCGGGGAGATACTTTTTCGCACGGCGGCTATTTTTACTCCGCGAACCGGGCCTCGAAAAACGCAGCTGCCTCCGAAGTTTTCGCGGCCGATAGATGGACGAAAAAGCTCCGAAACGTGTATCCATATATATACGCACACATATATAACGCGTCTAAGAGACCGGGAAGGAGGATTACTTTTTTAGTGCTTTCGGTATCTCTTAAGAGCGTATTCTTTCACCTCCACGTACATGATTCGTCCCTCCTTAAGAGCACCTTTGCCCATTCATTCCGGCAGTTTTTACGATGAAATCGTGCCGACGAAGAATGACTTTGGCATTTGCCTCCGTTGCGATGTCTTGCGTCACTTCCGCCGGATATCCATCGAACGACGCCGCAGCCTCGATAAAAATTCGAGAGAAAAAGTAACGCGTTCTTCCTGGCCGTCGAGAAAATAAAAAGAAGAAAGAAAGAAAGAAAGAAACGTTGAAACGAGTCGCACATTCGGAATGGCGCGAGCGAGCATTCCTTTTCTCTTTCTCTCTCTCGTCTTTTTCGCGAGATCCTCGAGTATGCTCGTGAGTTATTTCCGGGCTGGGATCGAGTTTTGAATCTTGGAGGGTTTCCCGGATTTCAGAAAACGAGGCCTGGAAGGAGGTTTGAATGGGGCGTATCGACTCCTTTCGAGGGCCGTTCGTATCAGCTCGAGGTTTCATAAAGGCCTGCGATAATGGCGCCGATCGGTCACGATCGATCATCGCCGTCCTGCTTAGCCGAAACCTCTTTATTTTCTCGAGGCACACTTTTGAAGACCCTTCACGTCGTGACTGCCTGAAAATAATGCGGAGGGAAAAGTGGTAGCGCCTTTAAAAAGTTAATCCTCTTTTGGGAGATAGATTTCTTATCCCATTCGACAGTACGTCCTGAAATTTCGGAAAATCGAGCCGACGAAAATCTAGAAGGGGGATTTTTAAGTGATCGTTTAGTATGTTATATTCTCCTAGAGGAATTATTCGAACGAGCCAAAGAGCCGGGCCCGTGCACTTTCACCTGCACACACGGAACTGGGCGATAAGGGGGTCCAAATATTTGCGGAGTCGCGGATTATGCGCGTAGCATGTTTTTATCAAGCTTAACACGCAGCGTGACTTATCTCCGGTAAATGGCCGGCGATTATGCGGAGCTTGATAAGACCTGCACCGGTTGGTCCAGGAGTTGCGAGCTCGGAAAGCGTTTCCGCTCGAGCGTGTCGACCCACCTTTGCGTTCCCATCTTCCTGAGTGGGTGTGACTTATCGTTCTAAGCACTCACGAATTTCGACTCGGTCTCGCGAGACCGACGAGAGACCTTGAAATGTGCCGAGGGAATTCTCGACCTATTAGCTGTGGAAATTTTTTGCCCTACCTAGATCCTGCATAACCTAAATCAGCCCTTTTTGGTCCTATTTCACTATTTAAGTTCTACCTTATTCCTACACGTAGAAAGAAATGGAAATTCTTTTATTACGAAATAACGACTCCATGACCGGTAGAAGAGAGGAGCGATCCAACTTCAATGAATATGATCCATTCCATCGAGAATGAGTGACGTACCGTTGGAACAAATTTTCGTGAATTTAAAGAAAAAAAAAAAAACGAAAAAATCGAAAAAGGTCATTTGAAATGACGACTCGATGACCAGGAAAAGGGAGGAGCAATCCAACCGCAATGGTTCCGGATTAGACCGTCGAGAATGAGTAACGTACCGTTGAAATGAATTTTCCCGAGTTTGAAAAAAGTCGATAAAAGGCATTCGAAATAACGACTCGACGACCAGTAAAAGGGAGGAGCAATCCAACCGCAATGGTTCCGGATTAGACCGTCGAGAATGAGTAACGTACCGTTGAAATGAATTTTCGCGAATTTGAAAAAAAAATTAAAAAAAAGTCTATAAAGGTTATTCGAAGTGGGGATGATCGGTAGAAGGGAGGAGTGTTCCAACACTTGGAAAAAGAGTTCGAGCGGTCGAACGGGGCACGATAGGTCGTGCGGTCGGTCGTCGATAGATACGTACACGTACGCGCGGCGAGCCGTCGTTAAACGGCTCTGGCACGAGTAGCTATTATAGGCGGCTACTTAGTCAAAAGAGCTTTTAAAGGAGGGGAGGCTCACGGTAAGCAGGAAAGCAAGTTCCGTTCGCGCGTCACGTCCGTTTATAAAATGGCACACGTTGCATCGGCCGATATCGCGTCTCGACAGCGGGATTTTCGCGATTCCCGCCCTACGTTCGATCTTCCATCGAACCGTTCGATAGGAAGCTCAAAAATCGCTCTCCCACCTCCCACAACCGTGACTGCTCTAATCAACGAGGTTTATCTCTGTTCGCAGGTGCGGGCGAGTCCGGCAAAAGTACCATCGTTAAACAAATGAAGTAAGTATCGTCGATCAGGGTGTATTACATGAATCTTGAAGCATTTGGTGCGTGCTGGTAGAGTGGACTGAGAAAAAAGAACAGCATTAAACGTTACTACACGAGCTCTGAAATAGGCGCGGATCCCTAAAAAGAATATGATATGCGACTAGTGATTTGATGTTACGATTTGTAAAGGTCTTTTGTCTTTCCGTATTTGTATGTCAAATGCCTTTTGCGGACTAGCGCTTCCCGAGTCGAAATTTTGGCCCTTCTTTGAGCCTGCGTAATCCAAGTAAGACCTCTTTTGGTCCTGTTTCGCTCTTTTAAAGTCCTCTTTCAACCTTTCACGTCCTACTTCATTCGAATTGAGGTATACAAGTAGAAGGTATGGAAATATCTGCCACTTTTAAGGTCTAAAGAAGGATTTCAAACTCGAAAGTATGTCGCGTCAAAACCCATTTAAGACCTGTAATTGGGGGTTCTAAGTAGGATCAAAATTTCGATTCGGGTTATCACAACTACCTTTTCTCAGTGTGCGGCTTCGGCGTGCGGTCTGACTTAGCGTAAAGGCGGAAGCCGTTGCGAGACTCGCTTAAAGGCTCGCGTCGACAACGACGATCGAAACGATCATCGTCGACAATAAGTGCAAAGCCCCGCAGGTGTCCGGGGCAATTTAAGCCGCGGAAAGTCGAGCGGAAGAAGCCTCGCTTACTCGCAAGTCGCGACATCGGTCTTTCCCCTTTGACAAAAGACTGAATCGACGGGGGCTCGTCGCGTCCCATTGTCCTCGGTCAGCTGCCCACCGATTTGCGTGCAAACTCGACGCTAATCCTTAACGGTCTTTGCGCTAACTAGCGATGAGCAAATGCAAAACCAAGCCTACCATGGTCTTTTTCTTGGCATTGGTCATGCATACTCAAATCTTGGACGCGTTCAGTCGAGTCTTGTTCTTGCAAGTATGATTAGGTTTGGTCTTTATCTTCCAAAAAGTTCAATCCAAGACCGATTTTGCTCATCGCTAGCGTTAACGGGTGCAACTCATTCCGTGCCCTCCCTTTCCTCCGCGGTTATTTTTTTTTTCCACCGTAGTTTCATCGACCGAAACTCGATCGACGCTTTTCCGGCAGGAACTTTCGGGCAGGCGTCGTATTACCGACGAATAGGAATCTACGGGCGAGATTTCCCGGTTCGATTTCCTCGGAGAGGTCACAGTGGTGCTTTGACCCGTTGACACGGAGGTCGTTCGAACTCGCCACGCAAAGTCGGTGGTAATGACCAAAGTAAAAGGGAGGGCTCGCGATCGAGGATCGACGAAGAGACGAATAGAGCATACAGAGAGATTTTTTATGAGGGGGTCGAAGCTCGGGACGTAAGGGGAGGATTGGCGCGGCCATCTTGCCGAGCTGCGCCATACGCGCAATCTTGTATTCGCGAGTAATGGCAGCCAAAGCGTGAGTACGGCGTCTTTTTAGAAATACAATGAAACGCCCGGCGGAGAATCTAAAGATCGTAAAATTGTGTTAAATACCGTTCTTAAGGTGATAAAAATTGTAAATAGCAGTAATAGCTTTCGTAAATGTCTTTCGAATTGCCTTTTATTTCTTTTTAGAATCCGTGTTCACTGGTAGGGCAAGATGGCCGCCGCCCTTTTGCCCTCTTACGTCTTGAGGCTCATTCACGGAACGATTTTCATTGTCCATCTTTTTATAAATCTATAATTGCGGTCGTCGAGTTGAAACTCGAGCTTTTTGCCGAATACCTACTGGGCGCAACGAGCGATCCCGGGTATTAAGCCTCGGTTTTTCATCGGTATTTTAGAATCGTCTCGAGATCGTCTTCGCGAGTCCTTCGAGTCGGAAGACTCGAAGCGTTCCTCCGTCGCGACCGGCCTCGATGAACGGCCCGTTATCGCTCTGCCCGGGCGCAAAAAGGCCACCGCCCGCCTAGCTCGGCGTTTCCGCGTCGATAACGGCGACGTTAATCGAAAGGCCGGGCGAAACGGAGGAACGGACCCGGGAATTCCCTACGAATTCGCCGCTCGTTTCGTCGCTCACTTCCCCTGCCGACGAAACGTCGATCGAAGGTACGCCCGGTATCAGGGGCGGCCTTCAATCTTTTTCCGCCCATCGCGCCCCTGACCGGAAGATAGCCGGTTCGCGTGAGTCCGTTTCAATCCAACGTCCACGGCGCGTTTCTCAATCCGGACATAAGGTGACGTGAAACCCGGGTCAAAGAGGACTTTTGTGAAACTTTTCTCCGAATTGGATTTACTTAATCGTTTCAAACCTCACAACGTGAACACGAAGACTACGAGGAAGGTCCTGATATCCATGACATTTGATTCTTTTTTTTTTTTTCTTTTTAAATTTGCATCTAGACATTTTGACACTTTTTTACAAAGTGGAGTATCATGGTTGGCAGGACCTTCCTTATAGCCTCCACGTTCACGTTGTAATGTTTGAAACAATTCGGTACACTCAGTTCAGAGAAGAGCTTCATGGAGGATTGACTCCTCGGACACCAGTTTCACATCCCCTTAAACACAAGACGCGAGAGAGGCCTTGATTCTCGGTAGATTTCAATCGATTTTGACTGGTATCTTCCGGTGTTATGGCGCTCTCGCGAGAACACCTGAGTTCGTAGTTGAAACGATCGGAGATAACTTGACTGGTCCGTTTCAGGATCATCCACGAAAGCGGCTTCACGCCCGAGGACTTCAAGCAGTACCGACCCGTGGTTTACAGCAACACGATACAGTCTCTGGTCGCGATCCTCAGGGCGATGCCAAATTTGGGCATCAGCTTTTCGACCAACGAGAGAGAGGTAAACGATCCCACCGGATCCCCTGACTAATTCTTGTTCTTTTGTTTTTTTTCTTTTTCTTCATTTCTCGAGTCCGACGTGCTTCGGGTGGCGGAAAATGGCAACAAAAAGCCCGTTGTCCGACGCGATACGCCGTTGAATCTAGCTGTAACTGCAACAGGTGAGAAAATAATTAACGGGCGCACAGGTGGAACGGGGTTCACCGGACCGCCCGGAGTGCTGGGTACAATGTATAGATGCCGAGGTAAATAGTTGCACATAAGAGGCCCGGGAGCCCGTGTAATCGATGTAATCTACCTAACGACGAATAACGATATTCACCTTCGACGTACGAAGGGGACTCGGCGACGTGGGCGAGCCTTGTAACCCGATTGATCCATCTCGACGACATTGTCTAGGCTCGCGATGGCCCGCGATAGCCCGCCGATACGCTCCTACATAAGCGCACTAACCATTTCTCCGATAATCGTGCTCGGGTACCTATAGAAGAAGAGGAAGAGCAGAAGAACGCGCTCGCGATTAGCCCACGACGAATCGAGAGGGTATCCGTCCGTTATCAAGACGTTCGTCGCGCGTATACTTAAGCTCGCCGAGACGTTGCCAATCGTGAATGCGGTTTACTACGGTTCAATGGTTATCTCGTGAATGAAGCATGGAGCGCCAACTTGGCAAACTACGCGGCGAAATTCCAGCCGTACACTTATGGCCGAGCGCGAATAATGCAATTTGGCACTGCCCTTCCGAGTACTTCCCTGTCCTCGTGGCGGAGGTACCTCGACGTCCCTAAAGCTAGCAGTGCCACGTCAGCATAACCGCATAAATTATACATCAAAATTTATTCCTTTTTTATTGCATATTTATTACACAATACCTCGGGGTGTTGGGAAACGTTTAATGTGATACGAGAGTGACATCTCAGGAGTTAATCGTTTATGAGAATTTTCTGTAAACTAGGTGTACCGAATTGTCTGAAGATTTCCCATGTGAACATGGGGACTCTAAGGAGGGTCCCGACCCTGGGTGGAGAATAAAAGAAACTGTTTATAAACAAATTAAAAAGAAAAAATTAAATTTCATGAATGTCAGGACTTTCCGTTAGAGTTTCCATGTTGAGGTGGAAAAATGTCAAGGGGTTCGATTCACTCTATTCGGAGAAAAGCTTCATAAACGAAACCTTTCCGATGCCACTATTGTATCGCCTTAAGGATCGTAGGAAAACCGAAACGAAGAGGTACGATTCGACCGAGGGGAATGGAAAACCTAGATGGAATCGCCGCCTCGCAAACGAGAGACGAGCTAATGAATCTTTCGCGGGATTTTTATTACTTCCTCGAATAAATGGAATTGTGTAACGTCGCGGTAATAATAGCTTCCGCGAATTCGCGGTTTCCTTCGTGACCGGCGGGCTCGAATTCCCTGAATGTCGGGAGCACTTGGTAATAATTAAGGCGGAACCGCGAGCAGCCTTGGCGGTTGTAGTTTTGCACCCCCCTCGAGCACGACACGACCAATCCTAACGCAATTAGCCGAACTTTACAACGCGACAATCGGACGGGTTTCTATCCGCCATCGGTCCAACTTCTCCAGGTACCTACCATTAACGAAATTAAATTCCTCCCAGCTATAGTGTCTCGATCGATATACCCGAGAGAGAGTACGCGCCCTTTTCTTCCCTTATACCTCCAGGGACAAAAATACATTTACAGTCTTAGCAAAAGGACAACATGGCGATGAAGTTTCGCTCTCCCTGCAGGAGTAATTTCACGAACAGCAAACATTTCTGCAGTTGTATAGAGCGTTAACGTAACCCTAGGCGAGCATTCTTTAGAAGAAATGCTTTCTAAATTAACAAATGAATTTGTAGCAAGAGGGAAAAAATATTGTCACCACTTGAACTACCGTATACAATTTCTCGTTGCCAGAAAAGTGTATCGGAACCGTGAATAGAATTCCCCTTGCCCCGGCGGAGTAATCTTTTCTTTTCCGCCAACATGACAATTTATGAAAATAATGTTGCTGGTCCATTTTCACCCGTTCACGTCTCTCGAGGCAAGTGGAATTTCTTTTTATCACCGTGAATTATTCTTCTGCGTCTTTTACCGGAGGAGAGCGGAGGTCTCTCGAGTTGCGCGACTCGAGTTACTCGTGTGCACGGTCTCGTTTCTCGCTCGCGAATTGCGCCACCTTCGGGCGCTAGTTTCCTCAGGGTCCCGACGATCAGACGTGGACGCGCCCTGGCCCTCTCGGGTATCTCCTGCGGGCGCTTCGGTGTGAATAAATGTCCGATATGGGTTCCACGCAACGCGGCCTCTCGGGTTAGCGACGTCGATGGTATACGCACACGGGGCAGGGGGTACCCTCGGAAGCGTGCATTAATGAATCGACGTCACCACGAGACCTACGTCGCTAACATGTCGCCTCCCGTACGGGACTCGGTGGGTTTCGTAATCGCGGACGCGAAAGAGGAAGGAGCGGTAAAGCGGAGGGGTCAACGCGATCGAATTTTCCTACCGCTTTCAGCCCCGGTTATTTTCACTCGGCCCGTGCAGGATCGATCTCCGGTCACATCGGAGGCACCTTCCTCCGTGCGGAAGCTCTCGAGTACGCTCCAACCGGGATCGATGAGTCGACAAGTGTTACGTTAAATAAAAAATCGCCTCCCCTACTCGGAGAACGCACTCGTCGAAACCACCCCCGCGATCGTAGGGAGGACTCGATCGATGGAACCGCCTCGATGAAAATTGCCGATAGTTACGAAAGTGGGGGAAATTTATCGAGAGAGGAACTTCATTGCGCTTGATAGGGTAATTTCGATTTTTATTGTCATTTAAATGATTTCGAACTTTATTGTCATTTAAATGGATATGAGTCAAGTTATGGAGTAAGTTCATGGTTTTTAAATATTTTTTTTTAGTTAGATTACTTTTTCACAATTACGGGTATCTGCGCGTAGCTCTCTCTCTCTCTTTATGCATTACGGTGCAGAGCAACGGACTCCGCTTGGCTTCGTTTTCGATAAGGTCGTTTTATCTGTTCGACAGACGGACGCGAAGATGGTGTTCGACGTGATCCAACGAATGGAAGACACGGAGGCGTTTAGCGAAGAGCTCCTGGCCGCCATGAAGAGGTTGTGGGCCGACAGTGGGGTCCAGGAGTGTTTCGGCAGAAGTAACGAGTACCAACTGAACGACTCCGCGAAATAGTAAGTAACCTCGTCCGATCTGGCTCGTCGGGCAGTCGATTTATCGTCGCCCCCTTGTCCCGGTCGAACCGTCCTCGCGAAGCGAGAATCTCGAAGGGGCCAGGATCCAAGGATAGGAGGAAGCGATTTAGCGCGGCATTCGCTCTCCAACGAAGGAGGAGCCCTCTCTCGATCCTTCGAGGCTGGCTCGATCCCTCGCGAAGCTCCTTGAGCGAAGTTTATCCACTCGAGAAAGATGGGGAGAGAGGGAGGGAGGGAGAGAGCGAGATATCGACGCGGACGGGCCAAGAGCCTCTTCGGCAGCGAACGATCCCGTGACCTCGAAACGAGCGACCCGTCTATCCGCCCTATAGGCATCCCACCCCCGTATCTTGTCTCTTTCCTTCCCCTGGAAAGAGAAATCAAGACCACCCAAGAAACGAGGTGCTCGCTAGCCGAAGTTCGTTAGGCGAAAATCCGCCATCTTTGCGGCCAAGATAATTGCATCTGCATATCCCCTTCCATAAATTCGACACCCTGGAGCACGTCCGTTGTCATAGTAATCAGGATATTTTTGGACGAGGGGACGACCCATGGCCGGACTTTCGCCCCGAGGGCGGCCTCCGTTCTTTCCACGAAGAATCTTTCTCCGAAGCTGGAAGGAGGGCCGCTATTCCTCTAGTTGTTTCGAAAAATGAAATCCCTCGATGGCGCTCGTTGGGCGAAGTACGAGTCGAATCTGCCGGAGTTTCGAAGTTCTCCGAGCCGAGTTAGCCGGTACGTGGTACAGGGGGTACACGGAACGTGTCCTCGCATCCCTGCTCTCTACAAGTACCTTTCACCGGTGCGCGTATACCGTATACCGGTCGCGGGGAAGTGGGTACACCTACGCCCCCTCTCCTCCGGATGTCCACCCCAACGTCCGTCGACGTATATCGAGGGGACGGTCCCTCGGAATCTGCGGTAGGCGTCTCTCGAAGGCACCTACTCGCGAGCTTAGAAATGAATTACCGGTCACGGGGTGCTCAGGAACGTTCGTCGTCGATCGGTATCCGGGCGGAATGTCGGAATCGCGAGACTCGCTGCGAGGTGGCCGGACCCGGGAGAGTAGGGCAGGACGCCGCGGGTTCCCCGAGGGGAGACCCACGGAAGATGGAATATGCACGGAACGTAGAGCGTCGAGCTCTGTGTCGTATTGATCGCCGATGACGTCACGCCACGCCCGTGTCACGTGGTGGGAAAATGGCCGACGCGGGTGCCCCCACCGCGCGCCGCCACGGTCGCCGCGACGACTTAACCTAGCGGGAGACCCAGGGACAGAGGTTTGCCCACCGCGTGTCATCTGGATCCCAGATATCGAGCCCCGATGAGCCCCCGTTCGGACCGAGCCGGAAACGCCCGAAAGGAGCTTCCGCTTCTGACTCGGCCAGAGGAGGGCGCCTCTCGTCGATTCTTCCCTTCCCGCAGGACTCTCGCGTCCTCGTCGGTCCCTCATTGGTCGTCGAGCCGAGGTCGGGCGCGGCGCTAGATGTCGCTGTCCGGCGATCTTAACCTTATCCCTTGTCATCTCCATTGGGAGGCTCGCTCTTCTTGCGGATAATACCACGACGCCTTGCGATCGCGTATGAATATCGATTTTATGCTCGACGCCCCGCCGGGGGCTTTGGCTTCGCCAGAAAAAGAAGCGGGCGAGGATTCGGAGCGGCCAATGCATTATTTAGGACCGATTTCACGTCCGTCAAAGACGTTCGGTGATGGCTCTCGAGGTGCGGGGAGGTTTTGCGGGAGGGATGATTTGCCATTCAGATGCGCTCGATGGTCCTCTTAGCGGGGAATTATACTTCGGGGGGAATTATGTTTCGTTTTCGATTTTCTCAGCTTTCGAGATCGCTCGGAAGCGCATCTTTGCTTCTTAGAGACACTCTTCGGGGACTTTTGTCAACCCGAAGCATCCTTTCTCCTGCCTCTATGTAGCCGAAAAGAGTGGAAGAGAAATCTACTCCTGCGATAGGAGAAAGATAAAGAGATGGGACATGAGATACGGATCCTCGGGACTTGGACATCTGTACAATTATCTTCTCGTTATTTAATATTTCTCGGAATACGGTGTTTTCGTTGTCTTTTTTTCTCTTTCAAGTTTCGGTCTCGTCGCTTGGGCCTCGCAATCTTATCTCGATTTGTAGGTAACTTGGATCGGGTGATAAGGAGCGAATTACGAATTCCATGGAAAAGCTCGATGGAGCGATTAAACGACGGATTTACGGGTTTCCGATGTGCAGGGAAAGGTTCGGTTTCGACAACTTGTTGCGAGCCCCTCCCAGACACGCGACCGTTCTTGCGCCCCGCGAGCCGCCATCTTGGATTCTCTCCCTATGCCCGATAAAATATACAACTCGTTCGTTCGGCCCTCCTCCAAAAGGAGAATATCCCTGTTCGGCGAGGAAACTTCGCGAAACCGGTAGCTCCGTTTGTTAAACTCTTTATCGAACACGGTGTTCGATCCAGCATCCGTGAAACTCAGACTTTGTCCGACTCGAGCCATTTGATTACACGCTGCAACCGTCCGCGATAACGAGGACATACGCGTTCTCGAGGAAGCGAGTCATCCGGTATGGCGTATTGATTTCCCGTTCCATTACAATGACTTTTAATCGGGAACCACTTGTCGACACGTTCGTCTCTTAAAAGCACGACGAATGGTTTTTTTTCCCGTTCTCCCTTGAAGTAGAAAATCGAATGCTGTTCGGTTGCTCTCCACCTTTCTCGGGAATTAAACCCTGATGATCGAACGAAGTCGCAACTTGAACTAAATTGGCTTTTAACATTCCAGCTTCCTCGACGACCTGGATCGATTGGGAGCAAGGGACTACCAGCCCACGGAACAAGACATCCTAAGAACCCGAGTGAAAACTACCGGCATTGTGGAAGTACACTTCTCCTTCAAAAACCTAAATTTCAAGTGAGTAATTGACTAGGAACGGTCGACGTTGGTTAGCCAAATTATAGGACCGAGTCGGGAGAACAGGATTCAGAGCATGTGCAATTATTGTTACTTAATCGAGCTCGCAGCGTACGAGATGGATTTGCATCGCCTTGAATAATTCATGCTTGGAACATTAGACGGAGGTGATTACGTTTCGTGTGCTGCTGGACGATTAGATTCCGTTTTCGAGAGCGACAAGGCCAATTTCTTCGAGTGGCCCTTCCGACTCGATGAGCTTTGCCTGCCATTGCGATTCGACGATTAATTCGCATCGCTTCTTGTCGCAGATTGTTCGATGTGGGAGGACAAAGGAGTGAACGTAAAAAGTGGATACATTGTTTCGAGGACGTGACGGCGATCATTTTCTGCGTGGCGATGTCCGAGTACGACCAGGTCCTACACGAGGACGAGACCACGGTACGGGAACGTTCTTTTAATAATTAACTCTTCTGCTATCTTAATAAGGAGCTAAGATTTCCGAGTAACTGCAATATAAATCGAAGTCGAGGCGTTCGACTTTGAGATTCTATTCCGTCGTGGCGCGAGCAAACGAGAGCCCAACAAGAAGAACGAACGAATTTCAAGGAATGAAAGAGATCAATTGTGGGGGTCATTTCATGTGGGAAGTCTTCATTCGGCTCCGTGTCGTCCCATGGCGACGAGTATGTTTTCGACGCGTGTCAAAGTGTCAATTATTAACGGCACCTATGAAATTCCGACGGCTGTTATCTGTGAGACGATTCGCCGTTGGAATACGAGATGAGCCGGTCACGCAAAGTGCAGAGTCCTTTGGTTATTTTTAAATGATCAAAGACAGACTCGGTGAAAGCCCGTGTAGATTCAATCACAGAGTTCAACTTGCGAAGTCGCCCCTTCCCCGTAATTAATTACTGACTTTTCCATATAGAATCGAATGCAGGAGAGCTTGAAGCTGTTCGACTCGATCTGCAACAATAAGTGGTTCACGGATACTTCGATCATCCTCTTCCTCAACAAGAAGGATCTCTTCGAGGAGAAGATCCGGAAATCGCCTTTGACCATATGTTTTCCCGAATACGCCGGTAAGTCGAGAGAAACACCACCACTTAAGGGTCCGGTAAAGCCTGGTCAGCCATTTTGAACCGTGACGTCAAAGGTGAGAAAATCCCATTAATTTTCCAATTGGTATTCTACGAAGGGAATAACATTTACAATGAAGACGGCACGAAGAAACTAGGTATTCACGAAACGTGTCAGCTGGACAGTCTATGACGAATCGTGCAATGTGAAACGAGATACCACTATCCGAAAATATTTTCGTTGACGAGGTTAGGAATCCTAGGCGATAATTCGACAATAAACGTAATGTCGAGACAAATACGGACCGGCTGGCACAGTGACTTATCTACTGATCATTATGGTATCCATTTCTTGACGAAAATATGAAAAATGTAACCAAATACTGGCTGGGAAGTTTACACGATTTTCTCGCTTCTGACGTCAAAATTCAATATGGCCGACCTGGATTCACTGGACCCTTAACATTAAGCACTCACCCGTCGAGTGCGCATCTCTCGAAACTAGAAAGGTTAGAAGATTTGCAACGCATGTAAACGTTGTTCCTTCAAATTGGAGAAATTCCAACCCAACTTCTGACGACCTTTGAATCTTCTTTAGGCGCGCAAGAATACGGAGAGGCGGCCGCCTATATCCAAGCGCAATTCGAGGCGAAGAACAAGTCGACCACGAAGGAGATCTACTGCCACATGACCTGCGCTACCGACACGAACAACATTCAATTCGTGTTCGACGCAGTCACCGATGTGATTATAGCCAATAATCTGCGCGGCTGCGGTCTCTACTAGTCTAATTCTGCATTCTATTTAAGCGCGAACAATAGCGACAATGCTATCGGGCGAGAAGAGACGCGTTCCTCGGAATCGGATCAGGCCTGCTTCGGTTCGAGGGAGAACCGAGGCGAAGGGGAAACGTTGCGGAAGAGAAAAAGGGAGACGGCGACGACGACGACGACGGGACTCACTCGGCCGAGGACCGTTTCTCTATCCGGACCTGAAAAAGGATCTCGACTTTCCCGGACTCGTCGACCAGATCGTTCATCGACTTGGATGGAAGGTCCCCGGAGAATCCGGTTGTCTTCTGCGAGTCGATGGATAACGTCGAATCGTTCGCGTCGTCGCTCGGACGACCCACGTTTCGCTTTCGTAACTCGATTAAGATCGCGGTAGCTCAGGACGCCGAGAGAAAGAGAGAAGGAAAGACGCTCGTCCCGCGATTAGTTTTAGGCGAACCGAAACAGGTCCGTGAAACGATCGCGCCGCGGATAGTATACATTTTTAGATCTTCGGACACACACGATCCACACAGTCACACGCAACACACGCTCGCGCGTACCTCGAAAGAATCGTTTGTTCGTCTCGCGGAAGAGGGGAAAGAAAATCGGTTTCCCTCCCGAGTGAACGATCGGTCGCTCGTCGGCTCCCGACACGTTTTGAAAAACGTGCGTCGACGACGAGCGCGGCATTCTTTTGACGCGTACACGCGCATACATCCACACGAACCAGCGAGACGTGCGTGCACCCTCGAAAGCAACGTCACCCCGCGTGGACTCCCTCGTATCCTCGAAAAGGTAAATCCATACGAACGCGCATTTGTCCGTACGCGAGCGGCGACCGCGTCGCATGGAAATTTGGATTTTTTTTTTAAACCCAATCCGAAGGGAACCCTCGTGTAGAACTAAGTGCAATTCGTACGATCGAATCGGGGATCGAGTTTCATGAGGAGTACGGGTCGTTACTCCCGTTTGGAGCGAGACGCGCGAACGTTGACATTTTGGCGTCGTGGTAACGATTGGTACCCAAAAAGTGCACCGGACGAGACAGCTGATGCAGCTGGAAAAAGTGACTTCGTTTAAATCGCCGCTCGCCGTACATCTTACTCCGGTTTTGCAGGAACACGATGGTGCGTCTTAGGAAGGGATTAACGAAAGGCCAATGCGTCGGCCTTTGAAGGAGGACGAGGTCTCGGACCGATGAGTTACCGTTCCTCCTGGGTCATTCGCTTTATTTCATATCGAATCGATCGAATCGCGTATGCGCGCGTTCGACGGTTGCACAAACTTGAAGCACACCTCACTTTATACACTGTACCTCGAGACTTGCACGCATTTACCGTAGGGCGATTTTGTCAAGCCGGCCGAGGCCGCGAGTTTTTCCATTATCCTTTTAATCCGATCGACTGACTTTAGGCCGGACACTTTTCTCGAATAATGTGCGCATAAGGATGTACCTGGTCTACCTACATGTCGACTGGTGGTACGCACACGCACACGCACCCGCACCAGCGGCCCGACGTCCGCGGCTCATCTTGAATACGTATCTTTCCGAGTAACTTAATTTTTTCTCTCGTTATCTCATTTTGTACGTGTATCGACAATACCGTTTCGTTCGGGAAGATTCTTTTGGAGGAGAATCGTGTAAAGCAGCCACGGTAAATAGGAAGAGGGCGTATATACCGGACCTCGCGACCCGCGCGCTCGACGTACGCGGATGTTCATTGCGCACAATCCTAAGGTATTTTTATTCTCGCGTAAAGCATCGGTTATATTTTATTAACGAGAAAGGTAGGGAGCGAGACGCCGAGCGTACGCGGTTTACGCAGAAATTCAGAAAAATTGTGAGAGGAACTCGCGACGATTGGGTGACGTCGTGTACCGATTTCTTTTCGAAGCGGTTCAGTTTGTACCTCGGCCGACGGAATTACACCGAATACGTGGCATATTAATTTTTGTTCAGTGCCCGACCGAAGTGTTGCCTGAGAATCGGTCTCTCGATCCCGCGAGTTCTTTCTAGATTTTCTTAAGCTAGTCGACTCAATGCCAAAAAGTATGACAGCGGGCGTTTACGGAAAAACGCACAGTGGAAGATGTTAAATCGCGAAGGAAACCTGTGGTCTTGTCCCCGATGTCGAATCCGACGTTACGCGAGTTTCTTGCCAGGCTCTTTTTCGCGTGGGGATGAAACTAATCAAATTCGCGACGATTGCGACCGGTGGCATTAATTTGCACATCTTCGTTCAGCTGTACAAGGAAGAGCGAATGGGTGAGCAAGCGGGTGAGAAAGAGATTGCGAGAGGAAAGCGTGGATGCAAAGTAGTAGCTCATAAAGTGTGAAAAAAAAAAAAGAAAAGAAAAACGACATCCACTCTGGTTTTGTTCATGGCGGTGGCGTTGATTTTAAGATGCTTAGCTTGCCATTGAGATCGCAATGTTACCCAAAGAAACGTACCACATAATCATGTGCCAAGGTACATGGAGGAGTAACTTAAGTTGAGTGACGTCAATCGATCGATCAGCCGATCAGCTGTTAAACGGCCACTTTGATTTGCGGAAGTGATAAGTCTATAAATTCGATAATGTCTTAAATGTGACAAAGTTGGCTTCAACTCTTGCACCTCTTACGTTAGGTTTGAGAGGGATTCGAATCTTGCGAGGACTTTAACGAATTAGGGCCCGTTTGCTGTGGAAGCGTAAAAAACAGTTTCGATTTATTAAAGGAATCGAGATGCGGTTTTCATTAACGAAAGGCATTGAAACGTAATGTAAATGGTTTCTTAAAGATTCTCCGATTAAATGGTAGCTGGCGCATCTTCTGCTTGAGTAATTCGAACGGGCTAGTGAAGGTTTCTCATTCGCAGGGTATCGATTCAGTGAAGAAGCAATTCGGATCTATAGGTCTTCTGCGGAAGATGTTTTAGATGACAAAAAAGTGAGCACGACAGTCAGATAAAACAGTTAAATAGGAAAATGGTTATACGTAACTAACTTAATCGAAAGACGGGGGCGTTAAACTGGTGCAACGGACTGATGCCGAAGCACGTTTTTTTTTTCTTCTTTTTAAGTAAACAGGAAGAAAGTGAGAAACGAGAAAGAAAAGGAGCGTATTTGTAAGGATTTACCGATTACTGCGTTATTATCTATAAATAATTAATATTAAAATGCAAGTAATATTTCTATGTATACATGAGGAAATATTCTGATGAAAGTGAGATATATATAGAGAGAGAGAGAGTGAAAGAGAAAGTGAGAGTCAGGAAAAGTGCGACTGTTGATTCGGTGGAGACAAAGAGACATTATTAAATGAATTAAACGCACGCAGGAAAGCCACGTACGTTTTACGCGTGTCCGAAGGGAGGCGTCTCGTGCGACTTTGGAAGAAACCTCCATCTCATTTCTTTCTCAACTTCCCTCAGGGGGATTTTCTTCATTTTCTTGGCTTTTGAGTTCATAGAGAAAATCATTTTTTTTACACTAATTAGCATCGCTTAGGACGAGCCGCAATGCGTTCGAAAATATTTCCTCGGTACTTTTTATAATAACTTTTCTTCCAAGTAAGCAAGCCCGTTACGCGTTCTATCATTCCGTTGGATTAACGAAAACCCACATTTACGAGAGTCGTTGGAGAAACGCGTCCTCGAGTTGGCAATTCCTTTCCAATCACTTTTCAAAGTCGCATACGCACGTACTTTACGCAATCCGAGATTTCTGGAGACTCCTCGTATCGAATTCGCACACCTTATCAACCAAAAGTCATTGCCATTTAAACGCCGGATCGGTTGCTAAACATTTCCGGCGCGTTTCCGCTGCGATCGTCGACACAAAGTGAAGTACAAAATTCGGGCCACTGAAGAATATTTGCCTTCGGCTTCGTATCGATCTGTCCTCCCCCCACTAAAACGGGGCGCAGGGTTCTGCGATCGAAGTGCAATTCGCGCGACCAGTAGAGAGTCTTAGTCTTTCTTCTTTCTATCGTCCTTCGTCCTCTTGAAAAAGGAAAACGAAGTCGCTTAGCTGTATCTGTAATGTACACTCGATATAGTCGAAGGATTTCGCGCGTGGCGAGGGCTCCTTCCCGTTTCCCTTGGTTTCGGTATATTTCCCATTGCGATTATTGCTGTTCCTAGTTATCGTCACGGTTGCCATACGTTGTGAAATTAACATTACCGGCGACTGCTCGTAGTAAGGTGATTCATTCGTAGGTAATATATGTAATGTATATTGATTACTATACCTAAGTCATACATGTATCGTGTCTCTAGTCACATAGCGAAGAAGTGGTATGTACGCACGCGCACGCACACGCACACGCACATACAGACCTACACGAACACGCGACATGCACCTACAGGCCAATCGAATCCTTTGCTCGGTTTTTGGGTTTACCGGCGAAAAAGATAAAAAGAAAAAAAAAGAAAATGAAGAAAAAAGGGAGACGTGCTTTCGAGCTGGCCGGACGTTGAAGCGACGGACGGGAAACACGTGGCGAGGCGTCGCGCCCGTTTTTACGGAGGGACGGGAAGACCTAACGAAACGAATCGGTCGATCCGATGAAATATCTCTGGCGACGTGGAAGTACAAGGAGACGATTCGAGGACTCGAATCTTGCGGGAAGTCTGCGACAAAGATAGACGGACAGAGAGAGATTAGAGATATGAGGATCCGCCGTATCCGGCGAGCGAAAGATCGGGTCTTCGGTTCGGTCAACCTTACGTAAACTTCGTGCCTGACAAGATGGACCGTTCTTTCTCACCTAAAGCCGCCTCGCACTTGAGCTCATTTCCTTTACCGTTGAAGCGTCGAAGAGACGTCGTCATTTCGAAAGATCTGTCCGAAGCGGCGGCAGTACTCGAATTGAAATTCGAAGGGAGATATCGACGCGTCGACAAGTTGCGAACTGCGCGGAAAACGCTCACGGGCAAGCACGGTATTAAATTAACGTTAATCGATGATTCACTGACCGATAATGTCGATTAACGTAATTTAATAATCCATCTTCCGAGAAGGCATCTCAGCGAGAACTCTGAACTGGGGCTCGCCAATTAGGCACGGAAGCAAAGAGTATAAGTTCTACCGAACCATATTCGCTATACACTGCATTGTAATGTACTTTCTATCATTACGGATGAATTAATAAACAAGTAAATTAAAAGGAGGGTTAATGCTAGCGTTATATCGTAAATATAATATAATTATTGGTAATGTAATGATTATAATAACGATAACGAGAAACAAAGAAGAATAATGATAATGTTTAATTGACGATTAATATCCGAGAGCGCATGTATTTCGTGACTCATGCATACCTTAACGACTTTGATTTCCGGGAAGGGAAAGAAAGCAGCATCGTGCGAGATTTCGGTAAATGGACCAGGAGATTTATTAAAAAAAAAAAAAAAATAAAGAAAGAAAAAATATACACGCGGAATATTTGCAGATTACCACCATGAAAAGTCTCTCATTATATATAAATATTATGTAATGATTGTCCATACATCTTAAAATGTCGAAATAAACTAATATTAAAACCAGAACTCTAGCTTCGTGCCGATCCAATCGGATCGCTTTAATTTCTTACATTCCACGTTGATTCTTACGTTATAATTTAGAATGGAGGAATAATAACGATTGAGCTGTCCAAAAATAATTCATTTAATTCCATATCGGTCTACAAGAAATTGTACAACTTATAATAAGAAATCCGATATCTCTTCTCGCATTTTCTCTAAATGTAATTTTTTCTTTGTTACACGCAATAAAAATGGAGATATAGCTTTTGGATCATTGATATCTTGAAGTATCAATGTACAGCCATAACAGAGATATTTTTTTAGATTCTCAGAATTAAATAACGGTAATTCGATAGTAGTGCATTTGTGTTTGTGACATTTTGTACAATTGTCTGGATTGCCGTCATTTGCTGTATCTTTATTTTCTGTGTTATCGCATTTATTATTGGAGTCATTTGGTCCTTCTAATGATATCATTTGCGAAAAAGCAGTCGCTTGAATACAACATAATTCGCTGTCAGTAATTGCTGTGTCCAGTGGGGCATTGCACAATGCACAAATGTTTGTTAGATCATTGCTCGTCGCATTACCAAGTTTCTCACCAGTGCGAAATACAGCAGAAACCGTTCCATAAAACTCGGCTTCTAAACCATTAACGAATTTTTCTGTCAAGGTTTGTAGGGTGTTATAAGAGCTCTTTTCTGTACTTAAATTAGAATGGCGAGCTACCGTTAATTTATGAAACATCAAATAGCCAAGTAATTCTTCCTTAGTGAAATCTCTCATGGGTCGAAGTATACCAATGTCAAAAAATCGATTATCTACAAATCCAACGTCCAATGGAAGTTGTGCACCTCGTCCTAACGAAATATTACTTAAAATCCTTATTGCAAGTTTGGTAGCATTATCAGCTACAAATATTTTATTGCATTTTAGTTGTCTTCCAACTGAGACAAGCAATCTTTGACGTAATCTATATATCATTTCCTCTTTAGCTGTGCAACTCGTCAAGCAATTAAGTATTTTTGATAAAGTATCATCTCCTTCGGTAGAAGCTTTATATAACTTAATACTTTGTACCGTTTCATCCAATTCCTCTAAGCTTTTATGGAGAGGGATTGCATATCCTATAAATCCTAAATTCTCAATTTCTTTCGATATTTTAGCCACATTTGCCTGTCGTTCTTCAATGGATTGACTTGTCACAGCACCTTCTGTAATAATTGTACATAATTTTGAAAAGCCATGTAGATCCATAACTTACTAGTTTATTTAATTATATTATTTACCATCAATGTAGACCACTATTGTCTTAAAAACAAGTCTTTTGTGAATCAATTCGTGCATGCCTGCTTTAATCAGATGCAACAGAGCAGTAGACCCTTCTGAACCCGAATAAGCAACGAGTACTGTATCCTTTGGACGAACTATTTTAGATTTCCCTAGTGTTGCTCGAAATTTATGTGTAGCCCCCATCAAAAAACAATCTCGACAATAGCTATCTTTTCTTCTTAGTAAGATTTCAGCCTTATTCGAACATTTTTTACATGCCATTTCATCCCTGAAAAGATATCACCTTTCATGAAGATAAAATGAAATCGTATTCATTTTTCGTTATAAATAGCAATATCTCTACCCTTTAATACACTTGAATAATTCTTTGTTTTTGTATTTAAAATCACGAGGAAGAATTGAACAAATTGCAAAAGATATGCTCAGAGCAGGAAAGATGAATGTAAGGAAATCAATCATAACCTATAAATGCAATTAACTTACAAAACTTTATCATCTTCTTTGGTTATGAATTGGACACCGTCGTTATCGTAATCGTGTAAACTGCACATATTTATTAAAACGAAGTAAGTGCACTAATATTATTTTCCTTCGATCAAGAAACGACAAATCATAAACTATACAATAATCGAAAGACTTCCAACCAGAGACAGAGATGAGTTGGGAGATTGCTCACGGGCAGGGTCGTGCGATCGCATCCTGTGCTACCCTCTCGTTTCGTACGTTAGCTTTCACCGTTTTTTGCCCCCAAGGGTGGCGCAACGAATTTCTGATAGGAGCTCGCGCACTCGCGATGGCGGTACCATTTACCAGTCGCCGTTTGCGGCTCACGTACTCGTGATGGTAATACCATGCGGTAGTTGGCGGTAGTGGCTTACCTACGATTACCAACACTGCTCGCTTTTGAGGGTAAGGGAAGAACATTCGTAACGCTCCATTTGACTTTATCTACTTATCTACTACTATTAAGTACATTGTTGCCTCGAAGTCGACGTGATGCGGAGCTTTGGGGCACGCGTCGGTGTCGCGTACGAAATTCTCATTCGGCGAATCTGCGTGAGTGCAATCGCTCCTAGAAATCTTCGCGCGTTCCAACCAGCCAAGCGCCAAGCTACGGGTCGAGATGTTGAATATATATGCGTTCGGCGCTACATCGACGAGTATGCGTGAGAGTCGAATTCTGCGAAAAATCCTCCCGAGGCTTACCTAACTGCGGATATAAGCCGAGTCATTTCGCGTATGATTTTTACATTTCCCTACTAGCGTTATCGAGCGTCTTTAGACCGTTTTTGAGCGTTTTTCAACCGTTTTCGAGTGTTTTGGAGCGTTATCGAGCGTTATCGAGCGTCTTTCGACCGTTTTCGAGCGTTTCCCGATCATTTTCAGAGTGGTTTCAAGCGTGTTCAAGCGTTATCGAGAATTTTTCGACCGTTTTTGAAGGTTTTCGAGCGTTTTTCAACCATGTTCGAGTGTTTTCGAGCATTATCGAGCGTTTTCGAGCGTTATCGATCGTTTCTCAGGTGTTTTTGAACGTTTTCGAGCGTTTTCGCGCGTATTTCAAGTGTTTCCGAGCCTTATCGCAGGCCGTACAGTGCCGTTGAGCGCTGTTAAGTGCAGTAGAGTGCCGGAGAGAGCTGGAGAGTTCCCGCAGTGTGCCGCAGAGTGCCGGAGAGTGCCGAAGAGTGCCGGAAAGTGCCGGAGAGTGTCGGAGAGTTGTCGCAGAGTGCCGGAGAGTGCCGCAGAGTGCCGGAGAGTTGCCGCAGAGTGACAGATAGTGTCGGAGAGTTGCCGCAGAGTGCCGGAGAGTGCCGGAGAGGGCC